GTCAAATTGTCAGAGTATCTCTGGTCAATTGGCTCTCATTTATACTAAAAACAGGGTTGTGACCCTTAAGCAAGGGAAGATAATTGGGAAAATGATATAAAAAGTACAGGTTGCTAAAAAAATCTTCTCAAGAAGCAGGGGGCAGATTATCACAAAACTTGCATACAAGAATGAGGATATGTTGTAGATTATGTTTTGTCAAAACTTTGATATTTTGCTTCCTATAAGGCAAAGGGTCATCAAGTCTTGTCAATTGATGCATCTTAGGTTACATATCAAGTTGACTCAAAAGTAGGCCACAGTGACCTACGTTTTTGAATATTTTCAGATACCAATTGGCTTAAAATCAGCAAACTTTGTCAGTTGCTTCATCTTGGGTCCTCAAAATGATTCAATTAAAAAGAAGGTCACAGTGATCTACTTTTGGAATTTCAAGGTAATATTTAAATATTTCAATTAATATAATGCTTTGAATCATCAAGCTTTGTCAGTTGATGCATCTTGTGTTCTCAGAGTGTGTCAACCAAAATGAAGGTAACAATGACCTACTTTTAGAATTTCAAGGTTTTATCTAGATAAATAGAATACTATGAGGCTTCAAATACAAGTGATAGGTATGTTGTACAATTTATCAGAAGAGTGATTCAAGGCCCTTGGTCCTCTTTCTTTAATTTGTCATTGTATGAGAAATGTCCAGGAGTAGATTACCTCCAAATTCCTTTGGTGGATATATGTCTAGTGATGTATTGATGTTATACAAGGCAATATTACAGGTGTGTTGAGGGAAGAACATTTTACCGGGTAGTTGATTTTTTAAACGCATGTACTTATTACAAAGTAAGGCTATATAATTGTACAGATATTATACATGTGCACTAAATAAAAAGATTTGAAATAAAAGTTACCTTTTATTATAATTTTTGTATGGTGAATAATAATGAAATATATAAAGAGAAAGGTATGAATTGAACAATTAATAATGTTTCTATTGCCACTCATAACTTTGACCTCAAGATTTAGCTTGTAAACTCATTATTTTAACGTTTTCTCAAAATGAGCCCCTTAATTTGCCCCGTTTGTACATTTGTTTCTCCAAAAGCATCTTGGAAAGTAATTTTTAGAGTGCTTGTCTCCCCCATTTGAACATTTATAGTCGACAAGCCACCTACACCATTATAAGTGGGCCCTCCACTTATCCGCACAACTACTGTATAAACGGTGTCTTTAACAAGAAGCAATGGTTTTGGAAATATTACTGGAATTTCTTTGTAGTTCTGAGTTTTCTGCTTAGTTTGGCTTCTTCCTAAAAGCTGGCCATTTCCAGTATAAAGATACATGGAAACCAAAAGACCTGCTTCACATACAGTCTCTGTACCGTAAACAAATATTCCTCTTAAATAGAAAGTATCTAAGTTTATAGTGAATGATATCCTGTCCCCATTTAGGGAATTATCAACAACCCATGTAGGATGTAGACTGTGACGTAAAAAGCGATTGATAATTATGTCCTGGTCTGTTATTAGACATCTTATCTTGGAGTGCTGTTCTGGTACTGGTTGTTGTTCAACTGTTGATAAGTACACCATGATCTTCAAAGATAATTCATTGTCAATTATGCCTTTATTAACAATATTTTCCAAAAAAAAGTCCATTGACATCATTCCGAACCTTAGAAAGGGACTTATGTCATGCCAGGTGTGGGGAATGTCTTCTTCTTTAACTTTTTTAGTCCAAAGATTGATGTGATTGAATAGAAGTTCCTCATGTATGCATAGACTGTCTCTTTTAACAATATTCAAGAGTAATTCCAGAGGAATTTCTTGGAATTCTTCAGTAGTTATACTTAGTAATACTTCTTCAATGTGTTTGTCTAAAAATTCAAGGCCTTTGTTTTTGATATCCGTTATGCTGTTTTCATGAGAAATAGTTAAAATTTTAAGAACAGTATTTTTTGATATGTTTTGTTCTAAGAATATGCAACATTTTTCCATAAGTTCAGTAACACTATAATAGTCAGCAATCTGGTAAATCTCTTCTACATTATCTAAAGTAATGTGTATTTCAGAAGTGTACAAGAACTCTGACATTTCCTTTGTATGTTGAATAGAATGAACATCACACTGAATTATGTTTGATTCATCACTGGGATGATTCCACTTTCCACAAAGCCGGGCCTCAAACCATTTTGATCCAAGAATTAATACAATTTTACGGGCTTCAATGATGGAATTATCTTGAAGCTTTAACTTTACGTCACAAAGTCTCTGGTCTCTGAAGGCTTGTATTAACTTTCTCCCAAGAACTGACATTTGTGTAGTCTGAAATACGAAATAGCTTCATATATTAGGACAAAATGACTATGCTTAGGTCACAGTGGTTAATGGAAAGTCACCTTGACCTCATCTTACAATGTGTATACACCGATTACCCGGTAGATGTTTATAGGAACATACAAACAAAGTAGGATTCATTGCCTGATCTAACAAATGTGTCTGAAAAAAACGTGTACATGAATTACACATAGAAGTGATATTAAATTCATATGTGTGTAAGGTAATTGTACAATAAATTTATAAAAGCTAGTTATCTTTAATCTTTCCTTCACTGTTACTTGAAGTTTTGCCAGTACATATAACAGTAACATATAACTTTAATAGTTTGACCCTCGATCTTCCAACCTCTTAACTTATCCAAAGAGGGGGACCAGTGTATGAGTTTGATGACGATCAATCAAAAGATTCTCAAGATTCTCTTGGCTGCAAGAACCGGGCCGGTCCCCCCCCCCCCAATAATTTTGTCAATATATAGAATACACTGTACTATAGAAAATATACATGTAGCTACTATATGCATGTGCCCCCTCAATAATAATGTCCGATGACCTTTTTTTTTTTTTTGCTTGTCAAGGAATTTTGGTAGTTGATAGTGCCCCCCAACTGAAAATGTATGGTTGTGCCCCTTCAAAGTGAAATTGCTTCCTACGGGCCTGATACTGATCAGACCAACTGACTGCTTAAAATGGCATGCCCTCTTTTTTTCAAGCAACACAAATATACAAGTCTTTCAATGAGGATTCAAACAAACAAATATCATTACATCTTTACTTCATATATTTAATTAAACATATATAATGTACAAGTATATACACAGGGCTATTAAAGAATCACGATGAAGACTATAAACTTAAATAACAAAACACATATTAAGTATGAAAGCCCTAGCACCAACTGTTCAAAAGTTATGGCCAAGGTTAAAGTTTGGCAATTTTTTGTAAAAGTGGGTCACACTACAAGGTCAAGGTCATGAGGTCAAATTTGGTGGTACCCAAAGAAAGATTTTGTCACAAGGAATACACCTGTGAAATATGAAATTTTTGACGTTGGGGTCATACAGAGTCAAATAAATACAATATTGTTCAAATATATATGAAGTAAGAGTGGTTCATTCTAAATTTCCTCATTATACTAAAAGCTTTAATCAATACATTTCAGTGTGTTTTATAGTGGGCCTATAGATAAGGTGTGAAAAGCTTATTTCAACTCTCCCCGCTAAAAAATATTGCTGAGAAATTCAGTTAATTATGCACATTCACTTCTTTTATCCTTGATGGAAATGAAAACAGAGCATCCTTGAAGTACAATAAGTATAACATAATACATCAGGTATCAAAAAAATATTGCTAACATAAAGAGAAAATATCAATGAATGAAATTGATATTCTAAAGTTAAAAAAAAAAAAAGATAAGGGGGCATATATCTGTAGTATTTCTGGATTCAGTGCTCGAGCTGTGATTCGCCATTTGCGCCAATTGCGAATTTTTTCCAAAAGTGGCGAAAAGAAATTCAAAAGTAGCGAAAATGGATTTTTTTTAGATAAACCATACAAAAGTGTGTGTACTCCTGGCTATCTCCTTTGTTTATTCAATGTATACAGATTATCCCCTTTGTTTATTTAATGCAAGCAGATGTGTGAATTCAGGGTGTGAAAACTCCATGAAACTTACAAAACAATGTACAGGTAGGAAATCACGTCTCGCTTGAACGCACACAGCTGACTAGGTTAATTTAGCCTGGAGCAGTAAGGGCCAAGGGGATACAAAATTACTTGAAATAATACAAGATGGATTAAACAAGGAAAGACAAAGTGTTTTTGGGAGATGAAGTTAGTTAATAAAAGATTTTTATCAATAAAATCTGGATCTATATAGATTGTTTTTTAAAACCGAAAGTAGGAAAACATGACGAAAATTGCAGAGCATGGCTGCTAATTTTACCTGATTAAAGACTTAAAAGTCAAAATAGTGTGTTCATTATACCATAAACTGACAAAGAATGAAAGAGATACTGGCTTGGAAACAATACAATACTTTTGTCAAATACACTGAATTATTTTCAATTATGTGAATTTACATGCATACACCAAGTGTCCAAATTGTTGAATTAAGCCAAGTTTTAAACCTGATTTTAATTACCTCTTTTCACAATAAATTATTGATATGATTAAAATTTTCAATTATATCATTTTTTTTTTCAATTTAAAAAAAAATGTCATAAATCTTTACTAAGTCTGTATCCCCCCTCCCAGGGCTAAAAAAACGTTATGAACAAGAGGGCATCTACTTTCAAGGGTTGGCTTATATCAGTATCAAATTAATTGTATAAATGTAGAGATAATTCCTATATTAGTTTTGTAGGTGGATACAACGTTAAATTTTACAATATTAAACAATGCCTGTGATATAAACAAATTGAAATAGTGCTATTAGTGCAGTGTTTAGCATATACACTTGTCAAGACAAGATGTAAGAATGCAATTCCTTTCATCGCGAAAAGTGGCGAAAAATACTTTCGCTCCAGTGGGAGCTCTGTCTGGATTTGGAACAAAGTATTTCTTCCTGCTATAAGCTAGTACATGTAACTATCTGACAGTAGAAACTATTACATAACTGGAATTTTTACTGCAGTTGTGACATTACATTGTTACATGACCTACCTTCATACATACATTCATACATATAATGATATTTCATATATCAAGTCAATAAAAGAGACATAAACTCGCTTAGAAAAATGTACAGATGGCGAGCACAAGTCATGTCAGTTATGTTGACTGGGAAAGGCAAATTATAATGGCTCAATATAGATGAGGCTACGGAAGCAAAATCCTCGTCAATCTCCTTGAAATTATTTCTGACAAGTCTCTGTAACTCAGTCACAACATTTCTCTGAACAGGATGTAAGTAGTTTGAAGCACCTGAAAAATGAGTAAAATAATTAAGATTGTTGGAGCTAAAAGAGTTGTGAAATATTTTATAACACATGCATATGATACATTTTCAATCATTTTTGTGTGCTTTTGGTACATAAAGACGAGAAACCAATGAATATACAATGAATACCTGTCATGTATGTGCTTCCTTTTCTATAACATTTAGCAGAGAGTAGCATATGCTAAATCATGTATATAGCTAAATGTTTTCATGTATATATTTACATGTAAAATAAGCATTTCCTGGAATGTGCTAAATTAATTCTACACTTACATAATAAATTAGAAGTGTTTGTGAAACACTGATGCCACAGATAATTTTACTGGTTTAGCTAATAATTTACTCATACCAACAACTTCAGGATTTTGAAACAATACTTCTGGAATTCCATGCAGGGTATCTCCCAGCTTCTGTCTTCGTATGGAATGAGTATTCCATTGGTCCATTATACCTTTTAGATCTCTCTTTATCAGTGGAAGATAAACAAATTGTATACAGGATCTAAAAAATGCAGTTGTTATATGTAAATATACCGGTATTTAGACTGTTAGTAGCAACAACTTTATTTGCAATTCATTTGTTTGAAATAATAAGGTATGCAAGTGGCCCTGGACAAATCCTCTCATCTGAGTCATGCTGTCACATGAATATTCAAAAAGACTCCCTCCCACACTTGATCAATTTCAGTTATAAGGCTATATACCAAGGTACATGTACATGCTAACGTACATGTAGGTGCACTAAGTCAGAGTGTTATTTTAGAAACTATAGTGTTGTTCTTCTAACATTCCCACAATGTAATAAGCGAAAATCAAAATTTCATGTTCCCATTGAATGTAGCTGTTGCAATGGCTCTTCCATTAATTGTTACTTAATACCCAAAGAATAATAGTTTTGAAATATGAGTCATGTTTGCAGGCAAGACTGGGAGTTATAAAATGTAAATATAAGAATTAATTGAATCATTATTTTTTAAAAAATGAAGTCTCGTAAGTCCAACAGTGTGTGCAAACAAATTTTCATAATGTGCTACCACAATTACAAGTTACTCTATTTGTTTACCATGTTTAAACACACTATTGCAGTTAGGAGACTACATCTTTCAAGAAATAATAAGTGAATGCTTTAATATAGCACTTTCTTTTCAAAGCATAAAAAAGGCTACCATAATTTCTTTTGTAAGTACAAATGACATAATATTTTTATCCTCCATGTTACAGTCTATATTTTGTTACCATTTACAGAGATATAGACGACACTTTATTATCAATGACAGGGTATCATTCTTATCCAAGACAAAATAAATAGACATGTACATCTAATATTTCTTTTCAAGGAGGTTCATCTGAACTCCTTTTTCATCTATACATACTTATGTAGAGGATTTCCTATTTCCAGCAGTTCTTCATACACCAGTCCCTAATAATAAATTCCCAAGATATATTTTCGTATTTTTTTATATTTACTATGGCCATGCATATTACCATAAACGAAGTACATGCATAGTTAAAGCTGAACATGCTTCGTAAAAAGAATGCGTCCGACATATTCGATTGGACTCGGGCTGTATCTGAGGGCCCCTATATATAGAGCCGCTCACTTGGTCACTGTTCAATGTAATCAATCGTCATCGGTGTAGACGGACGTATGCTATACAGCACTTGGTAGCGACAAAATAACTGTGTGCTTCTTCTAAATAATGCAGGAGAGTAAGATACCAAAGAGATTTACAACAGTTACACAGGTCAGCGCAGTATACAAACAAACACAAATATACGTAACTGCAATAAAATGTAAACAAAGGGAACGCATGATAACCAGCACAAACATGGGTCGCCATTCCACACCAATACCCATGACAATAAAGCAGTCACGTGTAACGAATCCGAAGAGTATACCATGGTGCTGATATCTAAGATAGTAATATCGAAAATGGCGTATGCCTATTTACGAGTCGTGTTCAGCTTTAACACACTGTAAAATGTAACTTTTGTCAGTAAAATACTTGTTTTCCAAAATAAATTAAGAGAAACATTTTTGTAATATTTCAGATGTGGCAATAACTTACTTTGAAATGATCCATCCAGAAATCTGCTTTCATTAGCCTTAAAATGCCCCAAAATCTTTCAATTCTCTACAATTAATGTTTGTAAAAAACGTTATTAAAACTTGGACATATGATTTTCTTTCCAGAAAATGTTATCTGTGTGTGTTTTGGGGGTGTGGAGCTATTTAAAACATGTACAATGCTAACCTGATTTGCAGTCGAAGTTCCAAAAGACACTGCACTTGGATCTGTCTTAAGAAATGTTTGGAATGTTGCGATGATCCCATTTTCTGTGCCAGGATCAGCTCTTATCTTTTGAGGACAACCTTAAAAGACAAACTATGATGTTATCAATATATGCCTTCCCTTCTAATTCATAACAAGTATTTTGAAATTTTGGTGGCTTAATTTCAGAAATCAATTGACATTTCTTGAAGCACACTTGCAATTGTAACTTGTCATTAAACATAGTACCCGGTGATTCTGTCACTATACCTTTCATAGTATGAACTGCATTCAGGAAGTATTCTGCTACAACCTCCGGTCTTTTATTAGTCACATCTGCTTCCAGCCATATCAACTGTCTGGAAAATCTATGCAAAATAAGAAATTAGATTTTGTAGTTGAAAGTTTTCCATTTATGTGAATGTTGTTGATCCCATAAATAATTTAAAACAACATCTGCAATACAGCAGATTAAACAAATAAATTCAAGTCTTTCTCATGAAAGTAAATATACCAGATTTTTAAAACCCTTAACCTATTAAAAAGTGTGATGGAAGAACATGATGGAAGGATGGAAAGACAGAAGTTGGAAAGAGCAAAGTACAGAAGACAGACACGGCAAATGATAATTATATGTTTTGGCCATATTCATGGTGGGGCATAAAAATGTCAGATATGAAATGCTTCTATTTGAACATGACTAATCATCGGCGGTGGCAGATTTAGAGGGGGCCTGGGCCCCTCTTTTGTGTCAAAATATCCATAAGATTTAAGAAATCATATTTTTTTTGGGTGTGGCTGTGGGCCTCTACCCCAACCCCAAACTGGTCAGCACCCCCCTCCTTTTCCAAGATACCTGGATCCGCCACTGATTGGCTCTGCTGCTTTCCTTCGAAAGATTTTTTTTATATATATTTACCTACGGTAATATATTTTCCTATGTAAAACTTTGAATGATCTCCTATTGTTGTCCCACCATAACCCTAGAGACAACTAGAGATAACAAGAAGTCTGTGAGCCAGTGCTCACTAATAATACCCCCGCTCTGTTGTGAATACACAAGTTCAGTTATGGACAGACACAGTAATAATCAGGAAATTGACATCGATTTGTACAAAAATGATTCGCAACATAAAGCATGCCTAAACAATGAGCGAGTTAAAATTTCAAGCATCTGCGATGAGTAGTTGCTGAGAAAACTGCGACCAAAATTTCTTATGTATGGCACGGACAGATGCACGGATAAACAAGAAGTTGACATCAGATTCGTATAAAAATGAAACCCACCACATGGCATGCCTAAACAAAGAGTGTGCTAAATTTTCAAGCATCCGCAATGAGTAGTTGCTGAGAAAACTGCGACCAAAATTTGTTACGGACAGACAGACAGACGGACAGACACACAAGGGTAAAACAGTATACCCCTCTCCTTTGGAGTGGGGGTATAATAATTAAAAAAAAAAATGAATATACACTATGTCAGGAAACTTTTACATCTGGTCCAGTGGTTCTTGAGAGGAAGTTTTTTTTTAATTCACTATATTTTCAACTGATCCTTGTACAAGAGCATGGTTCATTTGGAAGAAAAAAAAAAACCTCACCCAAGGATGCTTTGTGGCAAGTCTGGTTAAAATTGGTCCAGGGTTCTGAGAAAGATGAAATGCTAAATGCATACTGACAGACAAGCAGACAGATGGACAGAATTCAATTAGAAAACCACATTTGAGCTTTTAAAAAAATATTTAAAATTTTGATGGTTTCCTTTTGTATCTAAGTAAAATATTTGATTTCAGAAATTATTATATTTTTATGAGAAATCCATGTAGAACTAACATAAAATCAAACCACGCCAAAAAATCTTTTTAATTGAAAAGAAAATGCTTCAAAAACAATATGTCCACAATTATACAGTCCAAAAGAATATTAAAAGTTTAAAAAAAAAAATAACTTAACATATTGTATTTGAATACATTGATCATTAGTGTGGAATGTTTAAATTAATCAAACAAAACAACAAATCATACCCATCAATGCAACCATGAATGCTTATACCATATGGCTTTAGTTTGTCATATCCATCTATAAATGCAGTTTCATGTTTGGAATTACAGTTTAATTTCAGCTTGCAGGTGTCTCATAAGAAGTTTAGACATTTGATATATTTGTTTAATTTTAAAGCATTTCAAACCTATTTCAAATATCTTTTCTTGAAATGACTGACATTTAGGACAGATATCTACTATAAAATAAATGATATGTTTGTGAAACACTGATGCCCCAATCTCAACCAAGCCTTGGAGTGTCCATCTCCATCCTTAGAAGCATCATCCATGCTAATTTAGTTAAAGTATGGCTAAAATTCACTCATCTGGAAAATATAGGGCAAATCCAGCATTTGAAGCAGAAAGGGTAGTGTACATCCCAGCATCATCCATGCAAGTTTGATCCAAGTAGGGCTTATAGTAACATGGACATGTATAGGAATGAAGCTGCTTCAAAAACATTAACCTGGTCAATCATCTGAAAAATGTAAGTAAAATCCAGCATCTGAAGCAAGTGTGGTAGTGTCCATCCCTAGATGCATCATTCCTGCAAGTTTGGTCCAGGTAGGGCTTATAGTTTCCAAATGGACTTGCTCCTAACACTTTTACAGGGATGTGACGCTAACACCCACACCAACAGTATAGCATAAGCTCATCTCGACATCATCGGGGTGAGCTAAAAATAAATTACACAACCTACTTTTCATCTTATCAAATTGTAAAAGTTACATAAATAAATAAATAACAGGATTGATTTTGACTCTTCATTCATGAGCCAGAAGAAGGCAATATTACACTTACCCAAATGCCAAACAAAATTTGGACCCTATAAATACACATTGTACAAATATGGTATAAATAATTGTCCCTGACTTTCATATTCTGTACAGCAGGAAATTAGCTCGCAGAAATAATATTTGCAGAAATAAGAACCCCTCAGTTTCATATAGTGAATAATTCTTAAAAAAAATGATAAATTGAAATATTACCATTATCTGTGGTTAGATTCTTTAATTCTCTCTGTGTTTCATTGCAAACATAAAAGCAGTAATTAATATAGCGGAGAAACTGATGTAGACCGTCTTGCTAATAATGAAGGTTTATGGATCAGTTTAATCACTTACATGTAGTTGTTCGTGATTTTGAAGCTTAATTTAATTAATGATTAATTAATAAATATAATTCTATAACTTATATTTAATAGTGCCACCCAAAAGACGTGCAAGGTAATTATCCACGAAACACACAGAGTTAACCTTTACATGTGCTTATTACTTATTCTTATTACCTTTAATTGAGGCACTTACGTAGTAAAAACGAAGGTTACACATTTATTTAGTTATACTAACAGTTCAACATAACTACTAATAGAAGGGAAAGGAAAAAAAAACAAGGGAAAAAATTAAAATCATCAGGATGCGTGACAACGCTTTGACTTCAAATTGGTATTAATCTGACATTTCGTTATATTTAATCGGGTTCAGAAACGACATGACATAATAAGCAAGGAAAATACTTGCAGTGCTGAATTAATAACATTTCCTTTCTGCAAATTCAAACAACCCCAATTTACTACAAATTTAAAAAATTGCGATTTTAACCTGCTGTACAGTACATGTACAAGGTATATTTCACTTTTTTTCTTGCATAATTATTTTTCAAGCTTTGAAGTGTTGAATTTTGTCACATTTATGAAATTAATACATTAATAAATACTGAGATGATCAATGTTTCATAATTTTTCTTTCAGTCTTCGGTCTATACCTTGCTAAAGTATTGCCTTCTTCTCAGTCTTCTCTGCTTCCTTCTCTTTATCCCATCTTCATCCAAAAGACGAACCATATCTCTTGCTATGGACTTGTATCATTAAACATTTATTTCGTTTAATGTATTAAAATTTTACAATTATTGTCTATTTTTGAGGGCAAACATTATGACTTTTGAGCCCAAGAGAACCACTACCAACCAAGGCTCAGCCAGTCTTAACAATGGTTTTTGAAGGGTGAAATTTTTCAATACAACTCTCAACTGAGAGACCAAAATATTTGTTATACCTGGGTATTTTACTGAATGGTTCATGAAATATAATTATACATGCTTATAGATTCCATGCAGTCAGCAATTTTTGGGAATATGACTCATCATTTTTAATGCTAACTGTTGCTACATTCTGTTGCATTAGCTGGGCATGGTTTAATCAGTCATTGGAATATAGTGTTTTTTATCAAATGTTTCTCAATGAATCAGATTCAACTAATTTACATGAAAGTATAACATCAAAATATTTCCATGTTTGGATGTATTTAATCATGGATGGAGGAATGGACTGACTTTGATTATATACTTACCTGGTAATATTCAGCTGGTGTTTCATTTTTATAATTCTTCTTAGACTTTCAGCACCTGAACATCCATTCAGTATTTCTCTCTACAGAATATTGTAAATTGCATGTATAAGGTTTGCTCTATACAACTTTATATGTATTCTAATTAATATATGCAAGTTTTAGCATAATTTTCTGAATTTAATAGTACACTTTTTCTCCTTAAATACATGTACATGTGTAATGTATGTAATTTTAAATTTTTGCAACAGTGATGATTTAGAGCTGAAAAGACATCAGGGATATGAATTCCACTAAAATATGTCAAATTCCACACATCTTTCATACATATACATCCAACAAATAAGTTAATCATTGTGTTCTAAACTTTCATTGAAGAATTACCGGGTACTAAATGACAGTTAAAAGAACAGAAATATTTAACCTGCACGTGCACCTTTATATTTATGAATTTTCTAAGAAATAAAATTATTACCTGTGCAATATCAAATATTTCATCAAAAGCAATGTCTGCAAGCCTCCTTTTCAAACCAAGTCTAGGTAGAACTTTCCTTGTTAGGCAATTATAACTGCAAAATATTTTAATCACATAGAAGCATCATCATTGAATGACAATTTATGTATTTGATTAAAAGTCATGATACATAACTAGACTTCCAAAAGTATTTTTTAAATTTTGTATTATAATACCTTATGTCACAGTTATGGTTTCTCTGGATCAAATAATGGATTAAACGGTAGTTAAAACCCTTATAAAACAATTCTTTTATCTTTTCAAGTATATCTAAAAGAGAAAAAGAAACCTTTTAGCATAAAGTACTGATCATTTTATTATATAATCTACAGTTCAGCTTATACAAGAACATGATCTAGAAGATTTTCCCGATTTTCCCCCAGAATAATGAAGTTTAACTGTATATCAAAACAAAACATTGCAAATGTCCATTATTCATAAGATATACACTGCTGATCAGACTAAAGACAATGCTGAAAAGGAACAGCTTATTCTGATAAAGCAATAGCAGAAAAGTAATTTTGAGCCAGGCTCATTGCTCTACTCTTAGAGCAATAATTGCCTTTTTGTCAGGGTGTTCAACTGGATATGCTGCTTTCTCACTGCCAAATCAAATTTACAAGTTAAAAAAAAGTATGTTTATGCTCAGACGCTTTTGAGACAATACAACACTAAAATTAAACAAAGTAAAGTAAACTGATAAATTTTCTTAACAAACAAAATTAATGGTAATGTACTTTGGTTTCTCCCATGTGCCATGATGTACTACGATTTATTAATATGGTTGCATGTATGCAAAAGGTTTTCATCCGGTCCCCCTCAGTGTCTGTAGCACATACTAAAAATAAAGGTAGCATAACCAGGATAACACTAATGCAGGGAGCACGTGACCTGTGGTACACTTTGATGCAGAACTTCCCACTGAGGACTCATCTGAGCATAAACGTTTGTCCTTGCTGCATCAATGTTTATTTTTGTACATGGTGTAAGACCCCAGAACGATCCATGTGATAAATTCAATGTTCACTATTCTGTAAATGAGCTCTGCTCTCTATACTTCTGAGTACTTTGATTTTAAATATCACTTACCTTGCCCAATCATCTTCACTTCAGCTTATAATCTTTGTAAAACTACAAATAAGGAATGCAATACATATAACACCCAGTTCACTTCAACAGTATACAACTAAATATACGTTTACAATGTTAATGATAAGAAACTCCTTATACCATATGCTTTACTCTCAGGGTCATTCAGGGTTGCAAATAATTATTAGCCCACTTTCAAAATTTAAGTGTTTTGTCTGAAGGTAAGGGTTGATATTTTCCTAGAAAATTCACTAGCACAAGGGTTACTGATCATTAAAAATTTCTAGCCCAAACCTCAAACTAACTAGCCCAAACCTCAAACTAACTAGCCCAACAATTTTTTAATGCAAAATAAATTAAAACACAACAAAAGTAAAAGTTTCAAATGCTTTGGTAACAGAAACAAATTAAACTAGTTTTCAGTCAAAAGAAACCAGTTTACATACATAGAAAACAGAAATAAAGTCACAAGAATATTTTCTGGTCTGCTAGTCTGGCAGACTATATTTACATTTAAATTAGCTAGCCCTTGAAGTCTTAAAACAATTAGCCCCAGACTTTGGCTACCAATTTCAACCCCTGCTGAAGGCTTCAAACTCTTCAGGATGTTATTGCCCACATAGCAAGTAAAAATCTTATTGGAACTTCAAAACATACTGAATCGTGTCATCATTACAAATATCTTAGATTACAAAAACCAAGTGGAAATTTCAAACAAGAGGTATCTAACACCACAGAAAAACAATAGGGCATAGCTTTTTGGATTATGATAAAAGAGGATCCAAAACTTTTTCTAATCGAAATTGTGGAAATTAATTAAAAATGGAATTTGATTTGAAGTAAAGCAGTATGCATAAGGAGTTTGTTTCTCTTTTCTTTCTAATTGTTTTCAACCTTTTAGTTACATTAATGTGGGCCCCAAAGCAACAATACAGGCTAGTAAAACTTGTGAAGTTAGGATCCTACATGACTTCTATACTTTCAGACAAGCAATATCAGTCTTAAAAGACAAGTGTAAAAAGTCATACCTTGTGGGCAATGACACCTTTGTGAGGAGCAACCGTAAGAGAATTAAATCACCCGCATGAAAGAAATTCACGCGCACATGTCTGAATTTCAAATGCGAAGGAAAAATTCGCGAAAAAGAATAAATATACACATGCAACTTATTTGGAACTCACCAGGATTTTGACAAAAAGGTTGCATAATGTGTGATAAAAAATTTATCAAATCATATTCCCTCTTGCATAGTCAGCTTAAGAGTTACACAGAGCTCATTTTGTTATATTCCGAATACATACAAAACCTAGTCTTTGAATAATGAACTTGTACTAAATAACTAACTACCTAACATGCTAAACTAGGCTAGGGTTTCATTCCCTGACGAGAAAATTCGAACTAGGGGCCGTTGCAGAAGAAAGCTAGGTTTGAAAGTTCTATACCAGTATACCTTAACATTTAAGTTTGAAAGTTCTGTACTTTAACATTTAAGCTTAAAACATTGCTGGTGTGGTATTTACTTCTTACCGTGTTTGTCCTTGCTTGTAACTTTTGTTGTCGAAGTCTGAGATCATGAGACTGTCACTTCAACAGTAAAATCAACTGAACCCACATGTAAATGTAAGGATCTCTCTCAAATAGACGCTTTGTATCCGTCACGCTAGAAATAATATTTCTTCACGCTCAAGATAATATTTCCTTCACGCTTCAAATAATGTGTAGTCTGTCACAATAATAATCGTGTCTCCCAGCGTTTCAACATACTTATTGTTTCAACAAGGGGGAGTTTTCGTTCCTGTCACTAGAAAAGAAGTTATCTTTCCTGATGAGAAATAAAAAATAAAGTTTCTACGAACATATTAAGGCGCACATTATTATTGTTGCAAATATGGTGTGGTTTTTTTTTTAACGTGCATACATTTTTATTTCCATGAAAATGGCTTTTTTTTTCTTTTTTTTTCTTTTTTAATAATTTTCAAACAGTAGTTGTTACAAGTATGCATTCTTATAAATCGTTGAAGTAAACATAATACAGCTGTAATATGAATCTATAATCTTGGTGCTAAATAAAAATAATGTACACATCGACCGACAGGATTATAATTATTGCTGTTGGCAAGATTATAGTTGTAAGACATCAGAGGATAAAATTATTATTATTATTGGGCTAAATAAAGATAATTCGTACACATATTATGGTAGTATAGTATGGAAACGTGATAATTGTAATTTTTGCGGAGAAATATAATAATATGTTGTAAAAAAAAATATATATATTTTATTTTTTTTTTTATTAATTTGTGGTACAATTATAAATATATAGGAATAATAATAATGTGGAGGTACCCAAATTATTATTGTTGCAGAAAAATAATAATGTTGTAAAAAAGCAAGATTTTTATTTTTGTATGAGAGAATTATTTTTGGTATAATTATATAGGAAAAAATAATAATAATGTGGGGGTACCCTACGGCTTTCCATATTATTCCTATACTTTTATAATTGTACCACAAATTAATAAAATAATAATAATAATAATAAAAACAAATAAATAAATAAAAAAATAAAATAAAAAAAAAATCTTTGCTTTTTTTTTTCTTTTTCTTTTTTTTTTTTTTTACAACATTATTATATTTCCCCGCAAATATTACAATTATCACGTTTCCATACTATACTACCATACTGTGTGTACAAATTATCTTTATTTAGCCCAACAATAAATAATAATTTTATCCTCTGATGTTTTACAACTATAATCTTGCCAACAGCAATAATTATAATCGGTCGATGTGTGTACATTGTTTTTATTTACACCAAGATTATATCATATTACGTTTACTTCAACGATTTATAAGAATGCATACTAGTAACAACTACTGATTGAAAATTAAAAAAAAAACACTTTCATAGAAATAAATATGTATGCAAAAAAAAAAAAAAAAAAAAAAACAGAAACAAAAAAAAAAAAAAAAAAAAAAAAACACATTAATTTTGCAACAATAATAATGTGCGCCTTGTTCGTAGAAAACAACTTTATTTTTCATCGGGAAAGATAACTTCTTTTCTAGTGACAGGAACGAAAACTCTGTCCCTTGTTGAAACATTATTATTGTGACAGACTGTACACATTATTTGAAGCGTGAATTATATTATCTTGAGCGTGGAGAAATATTATTTCTAGCGTGACGGATACAAGCGTTAATGTGAGAGAGATTTGCACACATTATTTGAAGCGTGAAGGAAATATTATCTTGAGCGTGGAGAAATATTATTTCTAGCGTGACGGATACAAAGCGCCTATGTGAGAGAGATCTTTACATGTGTGTTCACCGTTCAGTCGAAGTGACAGTCTGAAGACGTCTTCGACAACAAAAGTTACAAGGTAGGACAGACACGGTAAGAAGTAAACACCACGCCAGTAATGTTTTAAGCTTAAATGTTAAAGTACAGAACTTCCAAACCTTAATGTTAAGATATAGAACTTTCAAACCTAACTTTCGAATTTTCTCGTCAGGGATTGAGTCTTAGAATAAAACATAAATTGTCTTCTGCACACGCCAGGAGTATTAGAAATCGCATCATAAAATATGTATTTTTTTTTTTTACAGATATGTTTTGTGTAGAGTGTGGTCACAAGTTTGACCACAACAATCCCAAATTTTGTGGGAATTGTGGGATGAGAATAGGTATGTGAAGTTATAACTACATTATATATATATATATATATATATAGAGAGAGAGAGAGAGAGAGAGAGAGAGAGAGAGAGAGAGAGAGAGATGTCATGAACTGAATATAAAACAAAAAGTTGAAGCAGAGAAGAACAGAAATATGTTCAAAAGAAGTTTAACATTCTGATGTATTATAGTTTCGGATTTTTTTTTTATTGGAAAACATGGTAAATACTAAATAAGAACCGAAAATGAAGACATGCAGTCCTGAATCTGCAGTGAATTATTTGCTGAAATCAAACTAGAATGAACTATTTTACAAACCAGATCTGGAAATTTAGGGTTCTTCAGCAAAAATCAGGTGAAAAACATGACTCGCCATGCCATAAAAAATAATTGGGTTATGGGTAAAAAAAATCTGGTTTAACACAACAGAATTGGGGGAGTTGGCAACTCTCCCCCCTCCCCCCATTACTACGTACATGTATCTGTTTTTAGGAACATTTGTAACCATTTTCATTACTATTAGAATATTACTAGTTATTTATGCATTTATCTATTTTATAGGTAGCAAGGACACTGGAGATGTTGAAAAAGAACCATCCATTGGTAAATTTATTGATTGCGGAAGTTCTAGATTTGAAGCAAATTCCTTTTGCCTTAAATTATAATTAATCAATTACAGGTAAACTTTGCTATCTCGACATCAGCAGAACTATCGGAAAATGTTGAGGTATCAGAGTTGAGACTTCATGTCCAAGACGCCCAAGATTTCACTGCATAGCAAACCAGACAGGTTTATTACGTACATGACTTCATTATACGGTAGTTCATTTTATTTCAGGAATTCCTCTATTTTTATTACCAAATCTAAGGAATTATAATAAAAATAATGTTTATAAAATAAGTTCTTTCTCTATATCGAAATCTTTCTAAATTTACAAAGTTTTCCAAAATTCCACCATTCCGTGTACATGTAACTTGTTTTTTTGGTCAGAACAGGATATGAAATGTGCTCTATAAACTTCGAACCGTATAAAGTCGACATCCGAGAAACAGAAAAAAAATTAGATGCATTTTTTTTTTCTCATTTGAAAAAGAAAGCTCATAAAAACAAAATGTGATGTTACTCGTGCATGAATTAAGGCTGATTCAGTTAATCATGTCATTAATTTGATTATTCAAGTTCCTGTTGAATGAATTTTTAAAACAAAATATCTTTTAAAACATCATTTAATTCCTTAGTTAGAATTAAATTTAATGCGTTTATTATTCATTGTAATGCAGTAAGCTTTTTCAAATTATAAAAGTTGTGCTTTATGTTGATATTAATTAACGTCGGTACATTTAACGAAAATCGTATAGATTTATCGATGATATTGCCCAAGCTGAACATTTAATTGAGCAATTAAAGTCTCGAAGAAGACCGAAGGGCTTGGGATTCTTCTACAAACACAGTCTGACTATAGAATGAATTCATCAGTGTGTAGTCAAAACATGGGTGTGAAAGGTGTGAATTTCTTATGATGTCGAGATACACAGAGTCATCCGTGCCTGACGAGTGACCATTTGACAAACAGTTAGGTTTAATAGAGCAGAAAATTGCCGATGTCGACATATACCAGGTAAATGTTGCTCTTGGGACTGTGAATATACGTCGAGATAAACCGGGTTGTCGACATTACCGAGGTAGACATATCAGAGTGTTTGCAAATGAAGTATTTAGTAAATACTGCCGGGAGCATGGACGGACATCAACATATCCCAGGTTGTCGATGTATCCGCGATGTCGACATATGGAAGTTTACCTGTATTTAATGAATATTTAGTTGAACTTTGATATCTTGAACACTGATCATGTGGTGATATTTCAGATGCCATGGATATGTCAAAGTGATTTGGAAGTTGCAACCACTTATTCTTTAAGTATGTTATCCCTGATATCTCAAATCCTTGGATATCTCAAAGTTCAGTCCCATCAAGTTCAAGATAACAAGGTTAAACTGTATATATGAAACTTCACAGGTAGTCACAGTGAGGTGCTTTCTGACACTGATGACATGGAAATTTTGCTATAATTACATGTATACTACATTCATTTGGCATGAAAATACAATAGAATAATGTATTTCTCTAAATTTTCAGATTGTGAGGTGCTCCCAGATATGGCAGACATAAAAGGTGTTGAACAAAAGTTATCCAAAGGTAAATTTACTAATGACTGTATAGTATAATCTACAACTTATAAAAAGCATTGATGATTTCCTGTAGGAAAAACCTTAATACAGTAACAAATTTTCCAAGGCAGACCTCAAAATATTTATATCTATCATATGTACACATGCATGTCACTATAATAAATGATTTACTTACTTACTTACAATAGTCATTATGAAATTTATTTTTCATGTGCTTCTCTTTATATGACATGTTGTGTGAAAATGAAGCAAAGTGCTTCCAGATTTGGTAGGAGACTTAGAATCTGATTAATGAATATCATCAATTTAAAAGAAATCTGAAATATCTGTGCTTGCTTGTCGACAAGTGAGCTTTGGTAGTCGGGACAAGGAAAGTCATCATGGTGATGAATGGTTATGATTCAAACTTGTCCTTTTGAGCAAGCGGTCATGGAAATTGTTAACACCCTGTAATTTAGTAGATAAATTTTTGTCTTGAGCTTAAAACAAACATGATCATAGGGCCAAGGATTTCCCCAAATAGTACATCTTTGAGACAATGATTTTGCTAGGATAAAGTAAAATGATAAGTATGAATTTGTGTCTCAATACAAGTTTTTGATAATGTGTGTTATGTTTCTATTGTTAGTGTGAAGTCATTTTAAAGTAAATCTTTTAAGGTTGCAAAGAAAGTCTGGAGTTCCTAAAAAAGAAGTATGGCCCTCAAAGCCTGAAGCATAAACCAAAACCAAAAACAGATAGGAGCATTTCAAAAGTGAGAGACTATGGATTGAGTTTATGTTACAGTTACTTGTTGTCATAATAACAGTGTGAAACATAAATTGACACAAAGTAAATGGTCATTCCTCACATACAATGTACATGTTTTTGCATACATATACATGTCTACAAGAGTTGTTAATGAAGAATTGTATAAGCTGAAAGACATTAAAAATATTTTAATTTTTTCTTATATTCAGAAATTCACTAACATGCATGTATGGTACATGTATATACATGTGTTTGATTAACATTGCAGGAACTGATTGTTCATATAATGGATGGTAAAAATAGGGCCTTGAAGAGAGCCTTCCCAACGGATGATGGACTTAGTGGCTGTCTGAAAATCCTAACCAGCTACAGCGATAATGCGGAAAATTGGATGTCCAAAATTAGTGACATGTTCAGAGGGAAGATTATTTTCCTTCCCTACATAATGGGAAAATGTGGTATTGAAGCAATAGAGAACCCCCAACAATTCACACTTGGTCACTTGGAGAAACTAAAAACAAATAAGAAATATGTACCACTAAAGATATATGCAAAGGCCAGAGGGAAAGGTAATACTTTAAGAGCTGTTTGAGAATTTACCTCAAGCCATCTTTAAAAATTTGCCCTCTCCCGACTGACTGGCTCAAAATGGCTCATGTCAATTTTGTTTTACCTCAAGAAAATGATCAATTTTAAAATTTTCATTCTAGAATTTTCTCATCCTGTCAACAAGTTTTTTTAAAATATATTTTAGAAATTCTGCATTGATGTTGAAATTTTCTGGGAAAAAAATCCCTACTTACCTACTGAATGAATGTTTTTACCCTAAGTCAGGGAAGGAAAGACAAATATTAATTTAAAGATAGCCTTACCTAACTTTCATTGTATTTACACACACTTAATCCTTAAAAAAAAAAAAAAATACAAAACACCTTTGAAACACTTTGATGTAATTACAAGGATTTTTTCTATATTTAAAGGTCAAACTTAATTATAATCATGTCAAAAGGTATTGTTTTGTGTTTGCCTGAACATTCTTTTAACTGTATAATTAATTATATACTGGGTTATGGGCAGCAATTATCACTAATATTTACATCTACAGTGTAGAAAAAAATTAATTTCAATTCATTATCTTTATTGTAGAAGGACATACATCTAATAGCACATTTATAGAAATCATTATTATACCCGTACTGATTTTTCACTAATTAAGAGTAAATCGATATTTTTTGCTGATTTCTTGAAAATCACCCTAAAAAGACAGATTCCCTGCTAAAAGGACTTAAGGTGCGTCAGTTTGATGAACTGATACACACCTATTTGGAACACCTATCAATTTCTGTAAACAATGTGAAAAGTACCGATATGTTCCAAATAAAATCATGAATATTCATAATGCAGCAAAAGGAAAGTTATATATAAGGAGGCGGGGCCTAATTTTTATGGGAAAGAGTAACTTGTTATTGTGTCGTCAACATGGTAGACTAATATGCACAGAGAGATATACCGATCACATTATTTTGTTACAGTGTAAGTTGTTTATAATATAAACAAAGTTGCTTGCAGATACATGTACATAGTTAATAGACAATTTATTGAAATGCAAAGATCTTATTTACTATTTTTATGTACATTCTGAGTACTCAATATTTCCATTGCGCTCACTCCCTCCCTCCTGGGTTGGAAACCCATAGGCAGCAATTCCAAACAAACAATTTTTTAAGGATGGCCCAATTTCAGTACTGCATGTTTTTAAAAAAAAAATATCATGAAGTACTTTTGTGTCTGCCTGTTTGAAATTCAAATAATGGCAGCCAAATTATTGCATGGAGGACAACATTATTTAAGATAAACATTTTGTTATGCAATTAATACTATTGAACTTCAATATTTCAAACATTGATATCTTAAATACCATGGTTAGCTTGAAGTGAATTGGAAAGTGGAAGTTCCAACAGATTTGATATACATGTAGATGATGTCTGCTGCACAGATAAGGAAGTTATTGTAAATGATTGACAAGTTTTCTTTTGTATTTTTCTTCACTTTTTGATGTTTTAGATAGGAGAGAAATTACAGAAAAATACAAAGGGCAGAAATTATCAGAGGTTTTAGTGATTTACAATTATATTTATTTTTTGTTTAATCTTTGAATTCTAGCATGTAATGATTTGATTAATTGATCTTTTCTTTTCATGATTTTGTTTTTCTGTCAGTCTGCTCATATCTAAGTCCATGTTCCCCTTGTAAAATTAATATATTTGTACCTACATGTATAAATAAGAATATAATGCTTTCAAAGTTAATTGTGCCATGTACATGTACTTCCTTTTATCTTTTATAAAGTAAATTGACAGTTCCAAAGAAATGAAGAATGTTGAAAATAGTAATGTTAGAGTAAAGTGCTTATAGGATGAGAATAATGACTTTAATCTTTTCCTATTGTATTAAAAAAGCATCTTTAAGTTAAAGTAATTTTCAAAAGAATTATAATATGGTGGGCAGAATGACATGCAGATATGACTTCAAGGAATGTCATAAAGTTAGCATTACTTTGTGGTAGTGTTATTTATTTTCACAAAATGATTTATCATGATTTTAATTTAGCTTAAAAATAAAGATTTTATGTAAGGGACAACAAATTCTGTGTTTTCAATGATGTTTTAGATTGTGTGAGGGAAGATAACTTTTTCCTTCTTTAGGGCATAAAGGGAATTGAATATGCTTGCATGAAGTAAATTTTTCATTTTTTTTTTTAATTGATTAAGAAAGAAATAGTCTTGTTAAGATTTAAATAAATAACCATAGATAAACTCAGATAATTTTTACAGCATTTCTTACTTTCCATGTAGCATATAGTAACTTTCTCTTTATTTGTTTTTTTTTTAATTTCTCACTGTTGGTTGTGTTAGATCATAAATTCATGCAAGTGCAATTTCTGTGATCTGACACAAAAATAATGTAAAATTGTCACAAAATATATTCTGTAAAGAAAAAAAAAATGATATTTTTAAACACATACTTTGTATCTTAAAGCTTATACATGTATATATGATATTTTTTGATGTATGTTCATGATTAAATTAATAGACTTGTCGAATCTTTAAATGCAAAGAATAAGGTAAACAGTAAGGAATCTGTCTAATATATGAATGAATTAAAAGTACAATACCACATCAAATTTTCTTATCTCCCATACAGAAGAGTTACATTGCTATTTTTTCATTATTTCTTTCAGTCAAAATCTAATTAGAAAATTTTAATTATATAAAATGTAAAAATAGACACTAGAAAATGTTCCTAGAAACTTTTCAGTAACAAAAATTCATATATTTCTTAAATTTTCAAAAATAATTTTTTAGCCATAAAGTTACATTTTCCCACTTTTCACCAAATTTGGTAGCTTGGTCAAAAATAAAGTTGTTCAACTAAACAAATATCACTTCTTTAGTTAGAGAGGCTCATATTTAAACAAAGATATTTAAATTTTGTTAGTATTATTTATCCTTAATTATGAAATCAAACAACAATCCTACTTAGACTTACATGTGCATTTAGATCAGTTCACCTCATTTAATAACTGGAGGTAGTCTAGATAATGGATTAGGTGAACTGATAGCAAATATTTTTTTTACATCTTTGTACAATTATGAGCTTTTTAAAAATCATTTTTTTTTTTAATTAAGATATCTGATGAATTTGAAGACTTTGAAGAGCTGGATCTTGAGGTAGTTACATCATAATAATCAATTTTTTTAACACGTGGGCCAAATTTAAGGTTAAAGTGAGCTTTTTATGATAGGAATATGTCCATTGTCAATCTTCATTGTTTTTGTCATAGTAAACATTTAATATTTTGACTTCTCCAATAGCATTGGATCAATATCAACCAAACTTGGCACAAAGCATACTTTGATGAAGAGAAAATTTATTTATCTAAAGAACCACACCCTCTTGGAAGGGGAGAGTATAAAATAAACAGAAATATGATGGATGTCATCAAAATATTTGTTCAGATCCCCACCCCCTTTTCCCCAGGATTGGTTGTGTTGAAATAAAATATGGGATCCAAATTTTATATGAATTTGAATAAATAGAAAAAAAAAATGTTTGGAAATCTCCTCCTCAAGTGCAGCAGGAATATGATGTGACATTAATATGCATGTATGGAGACTTTTGTAGTGCAGATTTAAAGAACTGAATGGTACCTGGAGGTAGGATGGGGTCACATTGGGGGTTAAAAACCCATTTACCGGTACATGTGAAAGCAAAGAAATTATGAAAAAAAAATATGTTTTCAATAGTTTCAGTGCCACACTTATTCACATTGCAATGCAACCTTCTCTTCCATTGGATTTAAGTTTCCAATTAAAAAACAAAAACAAAAAACATTGATCATAAGGATAGGATTTGGCTTAAATAGGGTATCAATTTTCACAAAATGCATGCATATGGAAGTAAAATGCTAAAAATTTCTGATGAACAGCAAGGCTGTTTCAATCATTTTGTTATGGCAGCATGATGTTGCTTTCATCACTGATATGCCTTAAGAACCTAAGTGCAATTTTGAAATTAAAGATTATGCAGTAAGTAATTTTAAAATACATGTAGTTCAAGGAATTTAGAACACAGATACATGTATATTTTTCCTTTGCAGACCCCAAAGAAAGAGAGAAAAAATGGAATGAAAGCATCCACAGAATGTTATGTAAGTGATCTGACCCTGTTTAAAATGAATTTTGCATGACTTGTATTAATTATTTTTCAAGCAAGCTGTATAATGGTTATGTGCAGGATTTGGAGCCATCAACATCAAAGGAATTAGATGGGAAAGGGTCACCACTAGGCAGTAATGTAGAGGAACAACCACATAGAAAAATAAAATTGTCTCCAATCATTATTGAAAATGAGGTATGTTTAGTACAAGTAAATTGCCATTGTTGTTTATGAAAGTTTTTTAAACAAAAATTGTAAAAGTTTCTTGTGGCTTCACAATTGAAGAAATTAGTCTGAAACTTCACTGGGGAAAGTCAACAAAATTTCTAAAATTGACCAGAATTTGAAAGAAACTGCATGCATTTGGATGTATTTTTAGGCATCAAAATATAATTTACCACTGTGCCAATTAATAGTGTGCTCTGTTTAATATAAGTGATTATATGAAAGCTAGAGATTGTTTCTCTTAAATTTGAACTTACATGTAATATTTGAAGATTTTTATTAGGGATGGCCACATGCAGTAAACTGACAAATTGATCAGAAAGATCATACTGGGTACAAATTCCATATAAAGCAGTCAACATTTTTAGAAACTTTTGTGATGAACTTACTTAAAAATTGTGCATTTATTTTAAATGTAGGTTTCTGATGATGATTGTAAACTCCCGAAAATGGAATTATCAAGATCAGTAAGTGTTTATTTTTCATGACTTTCTAGTTGTTTTGGTTTTTTTTTCATTCTACAGCTTAAACTTTCCTAATAGTGATTGGAATGTACATTGGTACATTTGTAATAGTTGGGCATACCCATATACCCTATCCAAAACAATACCACTGAAAAAAATTTAAGGAGACTCGCAATAGCTTTTTAACCCCCCCCCCCCCCACTACCATATGGGTGTAATGGCAAAATCAATTTTTTGCTATTGAAAACTCTATTAAATAACTAGGTGTCATTTTGCTAGCCTGTTGCCAACAGTTCCTCCATTTTCTTTCTTTTTTTTTTTTTTTTTTTTTTTTTTGGTAATTATAGTTATTAATTTAAATAAACTTTCAGTAAATTTGGATAATCTATCAAATAACAAACATTTTGCTATTAACTTAGTCATAATTTTATTATTACACAAGGTAACAGGATTCATTATGATTTTTGGTCACCTTAGTCACAAGATATTTCATTTGCAGACCCAAAAGGAAAAGAAAAAACGAGACATGAAAGCATCCACAGAATGTTATGTAAGTTGTCTGCCCTTGTTTATAATTACACGTAATCACATATGACTTGTATTATGTTAGTATTATTCTAGCAAGCTGTATAATGGTTATGTGCAGGATTTGGAGCCATCAACATCAAAGGAATTAGATGGGAAAGGGTCACCACTAGGCAGTAATGCAGAGGAACAACCACAAAGAAAAAGAAAGTTGTCTCCAATCATTGTTGAAAATGAGGTATGTTAGTATGTTTTAGTACAAGTAGATTGCTACTTTCCTAATGAATCCATGTGAATATTTTCAATTGTATTTTAAATACTTTTCAATGGGGGATATTGTTCATGGTCATAAACTTAAAGCTAAATATGACTCATTGAAGAAGAAAAAAATTTCCTCCCTTTTTCTCTCATTTTAATCTTTTTCTTGAGCACTATTATAAACCGCAGACTTCTTCACAGTCTGAAGATTTTGCTGTACAGATCTTACTTGTATAGACATATATATAAACTAGTATCTAAATTATATTGCTATTGATGCTCAGTCTCCATAAGATTGTCAAGTTCATGCAGCTATAGCATGTCAGGGGGAAAGTAACATCAATTGCATGTATGATTTATTACAAACAAACACAAATGCACTTAAATGTAAAAACAAAGAAAACTTTAGAATTAGTCAACATCGATCATGAGTTCCAGGTGTGCATTCTGGTTTAATAATATATATTCTATTGCTGATATTTGAAAGATGAAAACTAGCTTATGGCTATTTATGAGTCCAGGAAAAATAACAGTTTAACTGTGCAAACATTTTACCAATCCATTGCCTTTAAATTGTAATTCAATAAAGGACTAAAATTGGCTACTCAGTCTGTGCATAATTTTGGGTCTGTTTGTCATAAACTTCATGTGTTATGTGTATTCCTTATTAATGATAGGCAGCATTGTTAGACACAAGAGTTATCAATCTTGTTGGTAGAAGTATTTTTTTTTCTTCATAATTGATGTTGTGCTTATGAACACATCTATAGGCATCAGAAGCAAATTGAAAGGGAGGGGGCTACCCCGGTAACTGAAATGGGGAGCTAAACCAACAGAAAAAGGTAAGCCCCAATTTTCAATGCCTATATTATGTCCGTCTTTTGAAAAAAGTGGTGGGGGCTAAGCCCCCCCCCCCCCCATTTCCGATGCCTGTGGAATGTTACTAAGCAATTTGAGATTCATTTTGTAACTGTCGATCTGAAGAGCCATTAAAGGTTAAAAGGCAGGAAGCACTTACAGATAAAATGAATTTTCAGGTCTTGAGAATCTTGACTTTTTTCATTGTATATACATATATATTTATATATATTTTAGATTTCTGATGAGCTACCAGACATTGAGGTACCCTCTCTTTCTTCAGACATTAATACAGATCCTAAGTCTGATGCTGTATGTAAAAGATAATGTATACTAAGTACACATATTTGTTATCTTTAAACAATACATTTATACATATGTGTATAGAAATGATTATGATATTGAAATAAGCAACAATTTAACATCAAGCAATCTACTTTTTTCCTTAAAACTTCACTAGTCTAGTTTTTCTTAACAATGATTTGGAATGAGATAGTTAATGTAATGATCTGTTCACACAGAGAGTTTTAATTCGCAGTAAATTAATGAGAAGTGAAATAATGCGTGTTCTCATTCATTTCTTAATCTTTATATGTATGACTTTTCATACCCACTTTACTTAACAGAGGTCTGCGCTTTGCTACTGAGGCGTCCAAGGTCCTTTTAGGGACCCGACCCCCCCCCCCCCCCGATTCGCACATGTTGTATAATGCTATCATGATGTCATTTGCAAATCACTTCACATTGTGCAGAGCAGATCCATTAGACATAATGGCATGGTGTCTGTAATCATTTCAGTGATAAGCATAATTTCACTTTGTTTTTCACTAAAAAAAAAATAGCATAAGTACCCATATCTGACCACTGACATGTGGCATGCGACTTGATTTTGCCATTACGCACGTGTCAGAATTTTAATTCTAATTATCTAAAGAGCTAATGCGGAGTAATTTGATGCACAGTAATTTAATTCAAATTAAATTAATTTGTAATCTCCGTGTAAATGGGATTCAAATTTAATTTGCTGTAACTTACATTCAGATTACTAGTAAATTCTCGGTGTGAACAGGGCATAAAAGTATTTACTGTTCTTTCTTTCAGCTTTCGAAGGAGGATGTACTGGTATTAGAGGATTTGCCAGTAAGTTGTCAATATTGAATACATGTATTATATATGTTTACTGCTATCTTGTTCTTCATATCAAAAAGTAATCAATCAAATGAGAAATCATAAAAGTGGCAGTTTCTCAACATATATGTACATGTATACATGTACATGTATATCAGATTCTTTGATTATTTTCAGCTAATGGACAGTGAAGTAGCAGCATTTTGTGATGTAAGTGTATACCATATTAAATATCTTTAAAAAGTGCTATTTATTTTTCAAATTGGATTTTAGCAGTTTTTCCCAAGAACACTTTTTTATACAAGTATGGATACATCAGCAAATGTTTCTTTATTGTAGGTCTTGGAAAAGAAGATAAAGAGAAAGGAGGTTTGACATTATGATACAGTTATCGTATAGCGGGATTTCTTGGCGTTTTGCTTGTTCAGATGTATGCCAATCATTTTGGTGTAATTAATTTTAGCGGACACAGGGTTTGAACACATTGCAAAAGAACACTAAGAAGAATACTGAATATTTTAGTGATTAAAATTTTAGCGGGCTACTACCAAACCACTAAAATAAGCCAAAATTAGCACCCCGCTGTACGGTATATTGTCTTGAAGTGTTCACTTGAAGAAGTTCACTGCTCATAACTTACTTCTCAGTAATTCTTAGTAAACCCTATTTCCCAGTACATGTACTTGCACACATAGTACAATGTAAACTACTTTATTTGCCCTTGAATGATCAAGGGCCATTGGAAAAATATTAATTGGACTTACATAAAGTATTATGTTAATGCTTGGAATTGTTAATTCTGTCTAGAAGGGTAAGTTTTGTACCTGGTATGTCTCTAAACCTATATTCGATCTCCAAAACCAATAGGCTAATTTCAACCAAATTCATATTAGGCCTTCAAGGGTAAGTAAGGAGATGCCAGAATAGAAGATCAAAGGTTCACAGGTGAAGATATAGAAGAAAAAAAGAAATCTGTAAAAAAAAATCTCCTCCTGAACATTAAGACCATGTTAGTCATTTTGGAATTAAAGCATCCAACATGTTGAATCAAACTTAGTAAATCACATTCTCTTGGGGCTAGATTTGGGCCAAATATAGGATTAAAATTTTTATGGGAGTGGAAAGGGGAAAAATGCAAAATCTTCTAAAGATCAACAAGGCAACTGTCTCTTGGATGAATTTTATGGCTTATGGGCTCTTGTTTTCAAAAGTATTTGGAGGTCATTTTAGGAACTGAAAGGCCTATTAATCATAATTTTAAATTGCTTTTCAACTTCAAGATGGCAGACGGAATAGCCTTGACATTCCCAGACAATGGAAAGATGGTGACTGTGGTGTATGAAAATCATGGGGGAATGTCATTTTCTAGGGCCTTTCATCATACAGACACAGTACAGGTATGATACATATGATGCATGAAAAGTGCACATTATCATATCATAAACATAATGAAGACAGTAATCCTTGTATATGTATTTAACAAGAGTTATTACTATTGAATCAATTTTCTTCTTATTACATGATTTGGATTTAAAGTAACAATTTTTAAGATAGATGCTAACTTGGCCATCATGAGTTGTTACATGTAAGAAATAAATTGAAATGATACGTTATATGATGAAAAGTCATCAGTGGGATACTCTAGTAGCCAGCAAATTTGAGAATGATTTTCTCACTATAAGTGAGCATTTGATAGTAGAGTAATAAATTTTTGGCAATTCTAAATTTCAAATTGAAAGAATTCGAATTTATTTTTTAAAAATGTCTACAAATTTTGGATATAATATGGCATTAAAAAAAATGTTCAAGCAGCTCTGGTATGTACATGTAGGTCACCATCTGCAATTTTGGAGTGAATGGTGTTTTGAATGTATACATCTCATAGCATATTAAATGAATAGAAATATATTTTCCTCTGAATTTAATGTACTTTTAATGCACATATTAAGCTGTCTTATTCACACAAAACAACAGTAATTGGACAATTATTTAACATCACAGTGGAGCAACAGAAAAATGGATCTCACATAAAAGATAATAATTGAATTTTTTTTTTCCAGAAAGAAGTCTTGCACCTTTGTATATTGATGGTTCTTTTTTTTTTCAGAGTGTGTACACATTTATTTGTCAGATTATTGACCCAGAAATTCTCCCTTCTGTATTCCATTTGGAATGCATTTCACCAACAACCTGTACAGAAAGAGAATGCATTCATTGTTTTGAGCTCACAGAGTGTTTTGAAATGCCAATTGATAAATTGCCATCATTGTTGGTATTGAAAGAGGGGGTAAGAAAATTATACATATATCTTTTAAACATGTTTTGTTTCTTTACTCTGTACTTCCATAAAAGAAAAACTTGAGTCTTGATGCTTGCAGTGAAACAAAACTTACTTCATATATTTTACTTAATTTCTTTCTCAGACAAAAAGGTTCTAAAATATTTTTCATCAGCTTTTTTGCTGATAACTGATGTCATAGCTTCAGAACTGTTGCATTAAGGTTTTATATTTTAGTCTTTGACCATAACACTACAGATCCTGTGATGCAAATATGGTCAAATTTACATCGCAAGATTTTCTGCGCATGGTGGGGGGATGACAAATATACTCAATTGTTTTGAATTTCTTGTAGGATGGCAGAAAATTCAAAACAATTGAGTTTATTCGTTGGTAGAGACGACTGTAACAAGGGTTACAAAATGAATAAAATATACAGGTTGGTTAAAGAATGTGCCTGGAATTACGGAATGAAAGGTTGACCAATGCTGGAAAGTGGAGAATTCGCCCATACCATGCGCAGAAAATCTTGTGACATAAATTGCACTGAGATCTGCAGCGTAATGGTCAAAGACCATGGTCAAAGGTTGTGTAAAATCATAAATCTACAGTTCGACAGCTACTGATGTTAATGAACAATTTTAATTCTTTTATATGTATACATTTCAGAATTATCTGGTGGATGAAACCATGACATTTTATGGAACTGTGCTTTTAAAGAAAAACTAGACTGGCGGGTTCTACATAACTGTCCGGTTTATTTGTGTTCATCTTTTGATTAAACTCTTAACCAAAGTTTACTGAAATCAGAATGCCTGTCAATCGTAAACAATTTCTATCAGAAGACTATTCAGTATTTTTATGCCCCCAACCATGAAATGGTCAGGCATATAGTGTATATCATTTTATTTTCATTCCATCACAGTAAGCTTTTTTGTTGGGTATACAAATGAGTTGCTTTGTAATATGTGTCTTTATTTTGCTGATTGAGAAATAAAGACTTGATGGTTTTGTTTTTAGTTCATCTCAGCTGAAAGCTCAATTGAGCTTTTCTGATCACCAATTGTCCGTCCGACCATTTAGCTGTCCATCCATCTGTCTGTAAACATTTCACATTTTCAACTTCCCAAGAACTACTAGGCTGATTTTAAGCAGAGTTGATACAAAGCATTCTTGGGTAAAATGAAGTTTAAATTGTTAAAATGAAGAGCCAAGCCCCCTTACAAGGGGAGATAATCAAGAGAAGACAAAAATAGGGTAGGGTCATTAAAAATTCTCAAGAACCACTTGGCCAGAAAAGCCGAAACTTAAATGGAAGCATACTGGGATAGTGTAAATTCTAAATTGTTTGAATCATGACCCCCTGGGATAGGATGGGGCCTCCATGGGTGGTCAAAGTCTTGCATGGTATATATAGGAAAAATCATCAATAATCTTCTCAAGAACAACAAAAGATTAGTCATTTATATTGCAGCATCCACAGGTAATGTGGATTCAAGTTGATTTAAAACATGACCCTGGGGTAGGGTGTGGCCACTATGCTTGATCAAAGTTTTACATGGGTATAAATAAGAAAAATATTCAAAACGGAAATCAATTTCACATGGAAGCAAATTCTTTTCAATGAATTGTTTAAGACAATTAAGCACTTTAAAGTGACCATTCTCTTCGACTTTTCATCATTTGCCCTTAGATGTGGTATCTCAAGTTTATTGGATCATGATATTATTAGCTCTTCTGAGCAGAAGGCTTCAAAGAGCTAATGCTATGGCAATTTGTGCAGTGTCCATCAACTTTTAGGAATATGGGCCATAACTCAAGAACCCCTTGACCAATTTTTGTCAAATTGTCAGAGTATCTCTGGTCAATTGGCTCTCATTTATACTAAAAACAGGGTTGTGACCCTTAAGCAAGGGAAGATAATTGGGAAAATGATATAAAAAGTACAGGTTGCTAAAAAAAAATCTTCTCAAGAAGCAGGGGGCAGATTATCACAAAACTTGCATACAAGAATGAGGATATGTTGTTGATTATGTTTTGTCAAAACTTTTAATATTTTGCTTCCTATAAGGCAAAGGGTCATCAAGTCTTGTCAATTGATGCATCTTAGGTTACATATCAAGTTGACTCAAAAGTAGGCCACAGTGACCTACGTTTTTGAATATTTTCAGATACCAATTGGCTTAAAATCAGCAAACTTTGTCAGTTGCTTCATCTTGGGTCCTCAAAATGATTCAATTAAAAAGAAGGTCACAGTGATCTTCTTTTGGAATTTCAAGGTAATATTTAAATATTTCAATTAATATAATGCTTTGAATCATCAAGCTTTGTCAGTTGATGCATCTTGTGTTCTCAGAGTGTGTCAACCAAAATGAAGGTAACAATGACCTACTTTTAGAATTTCAAGGTTTTATCTAGATAAATAGAATACTATGAGGCTTCAAATACAAGTGATAGGTATGTTGTACAATTTATCAGAAGAGTGATTCAAGGCCCTTGGTCCTCTTTCTTTAATTTGTCATTGTATGAGAAATGTCCAGGAGTAGATTACCTCCAAATTCCTTTGGTGGATATATGTCTAGTGATGTATTGATGTTATACAAGGCAATATTACAGGTGTGTTGAGGGAAGAACATTTTACCGGGTAGTTGATTTTTTAAACGCATGTACTTATTACAAAGTAAGGCTATATAATTGTACAGATATTATACATGTGCACTAAATAAAAAGATTTGAAATAAAAGTTACCTTTTATTATAATTTTTGTATGGTGAATAATAATGAAATATATAAAGAGAAAGGTATGAATTGAACAATTAATAATGTTTCTATTGCCACTCATAACCTCAAGATTTAGCTTGTAAACTCATTATTTTAACGTTTTCTCAAAATGAGCCCCTTAATTTGCCCCGTTTGTACATTTGTTTCTCCAAAAGCATCTTGGAAAGTAATTTTTAGAGTGCGTGTCTCCCCCATTTGAACATTTATAGTCGACAAGCCACCTACACCATTATAAGTGGGCCCTCCACTTATCCGCACAACTACTGTATAAACGGTGTCTTTAACAAGAAGCAATGGTTTTGGAAATATTACTGGAATTTCTTTGTAGTTCTGAGTTTTCTGCTTAGTTTGGCTTCTTCCTAAAAGCTGGCCATTTCCAGTATAAAGATACATGGAAACCAAAAGACCTGCTTCACATACAGTCTCTGTACCGTAAACAAATATTCCTCTTAAATAGAAAGTATCTAAGTTTATAGTGAATGATATCCTGTCCCCATTTAGGGAATTATCAACAACCCATGTAGGATATAGACTGTGACGTAAAAAGCGATTGATAATTATGTCCTGGTCTGTTATTAGACATCTTATCTTGGAGTGCTGTTCTGGTACTGGTTGTTGTTCAACTGTTGATAAGTACACCAAGATCTTCAAAGATAATTCATTGTCAATTATGCCTTTATTAACAATATTTTCCAAAAAAAAGTCCATTGACATCATTCCGAACCTTAGAAAGGGACTTATGTCATGCCAGGTGTGGGGAATGTCTTCTTCTTTAACTTTTTTAGTCCAAAGATTGATGTGATTGAATAGAAGTTCCTCATGTATGCATAGACTGTCTCTTTTAACAATATTCAAGAGTAATTCCAGAGGAATTTCTTGGAATTCTTCAGTAGTTATACTTAATAATACTTCTTCAATGTGTTTGTCTAAAAAATCAAGGCCTTTGTTTTTGATATCCGTTATGCTGTTTTCATGAGAAATAGTTAAAATTTTAAGAACAGTATTTTTTGATATGTTTTGTTCTAAGAATATGCAACATTTTTCCGTAAGTTCAGTAACACTATAATAGTCAGCAATCTGGTAAATCTCTTCTACATTATCTAAAGTAATGTGTATTTCAGAAGTGTACAAGAACTCTAACATTTCCTTTGTATGTTGAATAGAATGAACATCACACTGAATTATGTTTGATTCATCACTGGGATGATTCCACTTTCCACAAAGCCGGGCCTCAAACCATTTTGATCCAAGAATTAATACAATTTTATGGGCTTCAATGATGGAATTATCTTGAAGCTTTAACTTTACGTCACAAAGTCTCTGGTCTCTGAAGGCTTGTATTAACTTTCTCCCAAGAACTGACATTTGTGTAGTCTGAAATACGAAATAGCTTCATATATTAGGACAAAATGACTATGCTTAGGTCACAGTGGTTAATGGAAAGTCACCTTGACCTCATCTTACAATGTGTATACACCGATTACCCGGTAGATGTTTATAGGAACATACAAACAAAGTAGGATTCATTGCCTGATCTAACAAATGTGTCTGAAAAAAACGTGTACATGAATTACACATAGAAGTGATGCTAAATTCATATGTGTGTAAGGTAATTGTACAATAAATTTATAAAAGCTAGTTATCTTTAATCTTTCCTTCACTGTTACTTGAAGTTTTGCCAGTACATATAACAGTAACATATAACTTTAATAGTTTGACCCTCGATCTTCCAACCTCTTAACTTATCCAAAGAGGGGGATCAGTGTATGAGTTTGATGACGATCAATCAAAAGATTCTCAAGATACTCTTGGCTGCAAGAACCGGGCCGGTCCCCCCCCCCCCAATAATTTTGTCAATATATAGAATACACTGTACTATAGAAAATATACATGTAGCTACTATATGCATGTGCCCCCTCAATAATAATGTCCGATGACCTTTTTTTTTTTTTTGCTTGTCAAGGAATTTTGGTAGTTGATAGTGCCCCCCAACTGAAAATGTATGGTTGTGCCCCTTCAAAGTGAAATTGCTTCCTACGGGCCTGATACTGATCAGACCAACTGACTGCTTAAAATGGCATGCCCTCTTTTTTTCAAGCAACACAAATATACAAGTCTTTCAATGAGGATTCAAACAAACAAATATCATTACATCTTTACTTCATATATTTAATTAAACATATATAATGTACAAGTATATACACAGGGCTATTAAAGAATCACGATGAAGACTATAAACTTAAATAACAAAACACATATTAAGTATGAAAGCCCTAGCACCAACTGTTCAAAAGTTATGGCCAAGGTTAAAGTTTGGCAATTTTTTGTAAAAGTGGCTTACACTACAAGGTCAAGGTCATGAGGTCAAATTTGGTGGTACCCAAAGAAAGATTTTCTCACAAGGAATACACCTGTGAAATATGAAATTTTTGATGTTGGGGGCATAAAGAGTCAAATAAATACAATATTGTTCAAATATATATGAAGTAAGAGTGGTTCATTCTAAATTTCCTCATTATACTAAAAGCTTTAATCAATACATTTCAGTGTGTTTTATAGTGGGCCTATAGATAAGGTGTGAAAAGCTTATTTCAACTCTCCCCTCTAAAAAATATTGCTGAGAAATTCAGTTAATTATGCACATTCACTTCTTTTATCCTTGATGGAAATGAAAACAGAGCATCCTTGAAGTACAATAAGTATAACATAATACATCAGGTATCAAAAAAATATTGCTAACATAAAGAGAAAATATCAATGAATGAAATTGATATTCTAAAGTTAAAAAAAAAAGATAAGGGGGCATATATCTGTAGTATTTCTGGATTCAGTGCTCGAGCTGTGATTCGCCATTTGCGCCAATTGCGAATTTTTTCCAAAAGTGGCGAAAAGAAATTCAAAAGTAGCGAAAATGGATTTTTTTTAGATAAACCATACAAAAGTGTGTGTACTCCTGGCTATCTCCTTTGTTTATTCAATGTATACAGATTATCCCCTTTGTTTATTTAATGCAAGCAGATGTGTGAATTCAGGGTGTGAAAACTCCATGAAACTTACAAAACAATGTACAGGTAGGAAATCACGTCTCGCTTGAACGCACACAGCTGACTAGGTTAATTTAGCCTGGAGCAGTAAGGGCCAAGGGGATACAAAATTACTTGAAATAATACAAGATGGATTAAACAAGGAAAGACAAAGTGTTTTTGGGAGATGAAGTTAGTTAATAAAAGATTTTTATCAATAAAATCTGGATCTATATAGATTGTTTTTTAAAACCGAAAGTAGGAAAACATGACGAAAATTGCAGAGCATGGCTGCTAATTTTACCTGATTAAAGACTTAAAAGTCAAAATAGTGTGTTCATTATACCATAAACTGACAAAGAATGAAAGAGATACTGGCTTGGAAACAATACAATACTTTTGTCAAATACACTGAATTATTTTCAATTATGTGAATTTACATGCATACACCAAGTGTCCAAATTGTTGAATTAAGCCAAGTTTTAAACCTGATTTTAATTACCTCTTTTCACAATAAATTGTTGATATGATTAAAATTTTCAATTATATTATTTTTTTTTTTTCAATTTAAAAAAAATGTCATAAATCTTTACTAAGTCTGTATCCCCCCTCCCAGGGCTAAAAAAACGTTATGAACAAGAGGGCATCTACTTTCAAGGGTTGGCTTATATCAGTATCAAATTAATTGTATAAATGTAGAGATAATTCCTATATTAGTTTTGTAGGTGGATACAACGTTAAATTTTACAATATTAAACAATGCCTGTGATATAAACAAATTGAAATAGTGCTATTAGTGCAGTGTTTAGCATATACACTTGTCAAGACAAGATGTAAGAATGCAATTCCTTTCATCGCGAAAAGTGGCGAAAAATACTTTCGCTCCAGTGGGAGCTCTGTCTGGATTTGGAACAAAGTATTTCTTCCTGCTATAAGCTAGTACATGTAACTATCTGACAGTAGAAACTATTACATAACTGGAATTTTTACTGCAGTTGTGACATTACATTGTTACATGACCTACCTTCATACATACATTCATACATATAATGATATTTCATATATCAAGTCAATAAAAGAGACATAAACTCGCTTAGAAAAATGTACAGATGGCGAGCACAAGTCATATCAGTTATGTTGACTGGGAAAGGCAAATTATAATGGCTCAATATAGATGAGGCTACGGAAGCAAAATCCTCGTCAATCTCCTTGAAATTATTTCTGACAAGTCTCTGTAACTCAGTCACAACATTTCTCTGAACAGGATGTAAGTAGTTTGAAGCACCTGAAAAATGAGTAAAATAATTAAGATTGTTGGAGCTAAAAGAGTTGTGAAATATTTTATAACACATGCATATGATACATTTTCAATCATTTTTGTGTGCTTTTGGTACATAAAGACGAGAAACCAATGAATATACAATGAATACCTGTCATGTATGTGCTTCCTTTTCTATAACATTTAGCAGAGAGTAGCATCTGCTAAATCATGTATATAGCTAAATGTTTTCATGTATATATTTACATGTAAAATAAGCATTTCCTGGAATGTGCTAAATTAATTCTACACTTACATAATAAATTAGAAGTGTTTGTGAAACACTGATGCCACAGATAATTTTACTGGTTTAGCTAATAATTTACTCATACCAACAACTTCAGGATTTTGAAACAATACTTCTGGAATTCCATGCAGGGTATCTCCCAGCTTCTGTCTTCGTATGGAATGAGTATTCCATTGGTCCATTATACCTTTTAGATCTCTCTTTATCAGTGGAAGATAAACAAATTGTATACAGGATCTAAAAAATGCAGTTGTTATATGTAAATATACCGGTATTTAGACTGTTAGTAGCAACAACTTTATTTGCAATTCATTTGTTTGAAATAATAAGGTATGCAAGTGGCCCTGGACAAATCCTCTCATCTGAGTCATGCTGTCACATGAATATTCAAAAAGACTCCCTCCCACACTTGATCAATTTCAGTTATAAGGCTATATACCAAGGTACATGTACATGCTAACGTACATGTAGGTGCACTAAGTCAGAGTGTTATTTTAGAAACTATAGTGTTGTTCTTCTAACATTCCCACAATGTAATAAGCGAAAATCAAAATTTCATGTTCCCATTGAATGTAGCTGTTGCAATGGCTCTTCCATTAATTGTTACTTAATACCCAAAGAATAATAGTTTTGAAATATGAGTCATGTTTGCAGGCAAGACTGGGAGTTATAAAATGTAAATATAAGAATTAATTGAATCATTATTTTTTTAAAAAATGAAGTCTCGTAAGTCCAACAGTGTGTGCAAACAAATTTTCATAATGTGCTACCACAATTACAAGTTACTCTATTTGTTTACCATGTTTAAACACACTATTGCAGTTAGGAGACTACATCTTTCAAGAAATAATAAGTGAATGCTTTAATATAGCACTTTCTTTTCAAAGCATAAAAAAGACTACCATAATTTCTTTTGTAAGTACAAATGACATAATATTTTTATCCTCCATGTTACAGTCTATATTTTGTTACCATTTACAGAGATATAGACGACACTTTATTATCAATGACAGGGTATCATTCTTATCCAAGACAAAATAAATAGACATGTACATCTAATATTTCTTTTCAAGGAGGTTCATCTGAACTCCTTTTTCATCTATACATACTTATGTAGAGGATTTCCTATTTTCAGCAGTTCTTCATACACCAGTCCCTAATAATAAATTCCCAAGATATATTTTCGTATTTTTTTATATTTACTATGGCCATGCATATTACCATAAACGAAGTACATGCATAGTTAAAGCTGAACATGCTTCGTAAAAAGAATGCGTCCGACATATTCGATTGGACTCGGGCTGTATCTGAGGGCCCCTATATATAGAGCCGCTCACTTGGTCACTGTTCAATGTAATCAATCGTCATCGGTGTAGACGGACGTATGCTATACAGCACTTGGTAGCGACAAAATAACTGTGTGCTTCTTCTAAATAATGCAGGAGAGTAAGATACCAAAGAGATTTACAACAGTTACACAGGTCAGCGCAGTATACAAACAAACACAAATATACGTAACTGCAATAAAATGTAAACAAAGGGAACGCATGATAACCAGCACAAACATGGGTCGCCATTCCACACCAATACCCATGACAATAAAGCAGTCACGTGTAACGAATCCGAAGAGTATACCCTGGTGCTGATATCTAAGATAGTAATATCGAAAATGGCGTATGCCTATTTACGAGTCGTGTTCAGCTTTAACACACTGTAAAATGTAACTTTTGTCAGTAAAATACTTGTTTTCCAAAATAAATTAAGAGAAACATTTTTGTAATATTTCAGATGTGGCAATAACTTACTTTGAAATGATCCATCCAGAAATCTGCTTTCATTAGCCTTAAAATGCCCGAAAATCTTTCAATTCTCTACAATTAATGTTTGTAAAAAACGTTATTAAAACTTGGACATATGATTTTCTTTCCAGAAAATGTTATCTGTGTGTGTTTTGGGGGTGTGGAGCTATTTAAAACATGTACAATGCTAACCTGATTTGCAGTCGAAGTTCCAAAAGACACTGCACTTGGATCTGTCTTAAGAAATGTTTGGAATATTGCGATGATCCCATTTTCTGTGCCAGGATCAGCTCTTATCTTTTGAGGACAACCTTAAAAGACAAACTATGATGTTATCAATATATGCCTTCCCTTCTAATTCATAACAAGTATTTTGAAATTTTGGTGGCTTAATTTCAGAAATCAATTGACATTTCTTGAAGCACACTTGCAATTGTAACTTGTCATTAAACATAGTACCCGGTGATTCTGTCACTATACCTTTCATAGTATGAACTGCATTCAGGAAGTATTCTGCTACAACCTCCGGTCTTTTATTAGTCACATCTGCTTCCAGTCATATCAACTGTCTGGAAAATCTTTCAAAATAAATTGAAAATACAGAAGTGGTACAATCTTAGAAAGACACTATATTTTTCTCTTATATATATGCAAAATAAGAAATTAGATTTTGTAGTTGAAAGTTTTCCATTTATGTGAATGTTGTTGATCCCATAAATAATTTAAAACAACATCTGCAATACAGCAGATTAAACAAATAAATTCAAGTCTTTCTCATGAAAGTAAATATACCAGATTTTTAAAACCCTTAACCTATTAAAAAGTGTGATGGAAGAACATGATGGAAGGATGGAAAGACAGAAGTTGGAAAGAGCAAAGTACAGAAGACAGACACGGCAAATGATAATTATATGTTTTGGCCATATTCATGGTGGGGCATAAAAATGTCAGATATGAAATGCTTCTATTTGAACATGACTAATCATCGGCGGTGGCAGATTTAGAGGGGGCCTGGGCCCCTCTTTTGTGTCAAAATATCCATAAGATTTAAGAAATCATATTTTTTTGGGGTGTGGCTGTGGGCCTCTACCCCAACCCCAAACTGGTCAGCACCCCCCTCCTTTTCCATAATACCTGGATCCGCCACTGATTGGCTCTGCTGCTTTCCTTCGAAAGATTTTTTTTATATATATTTACCTACGGTAATATATTTTCCTATGTAAAACTTTGAATGATCTCCTATTGTTGTCCCACCATAACCCTAGAGACAACTAGAGATAACAAGAAGTCTGTGAGCCAGTGCTCACTAATAATACCCCCGCTCTGTTGTGAATACACAAGTTCAGTTATGGACAGACACAGTAATAATCAGGAAATTGACATCGATTTGTACAAAAATGATTCGCAACATAAAGCATGCCTAAACAATGAGCGAGTTAAAATTTCAAGCATCTGCGATGAGTAGTTGCTGAGAAAACTGCGACCAAAATTTCTTATGTATGGCACGGACAGATGCACGGATAAACAAGAAGTTGACATCAGATTCGTATAAAAATGAATCCCACCACATGGCATGCCTAAACAAAGAGTGTGCTAAATTTTCAAGCATCCGCAATGAGTAGTTGCTGAGAAAACTGCGACCAAAATTTGTTACGGACAGACAGACAGACGGACAGACACACAAGGGTAAAACAGTATACCCCTCTCCTTTGGAGTGGGGGTATAATAATTGAAAAAAAAAATGAATATACACTATGTCAGGAAACTTTTACATCTGGTCCAGTGGTTCTTGAGAGGAAGTTTTTTTTTTTTAATTCACTATATTTTCAACTGATCCTTGTACAAGAGCATGGTTCATTTGGAAGAAAAAAAAACCTCACCCAAGGATGCTTTGTGGCAAGTCTGGTTAAAATTGGTCCAGGGTTCTGAGAAAGATGAAATGCTAAATGCATACTGACAGACAAGCAGACAGATGGACAGAATTCAATTAGAAAACCACATTTGAGCTTTTAAAAAAATATTTAAAATTTTGATGGTTTCCTTTTGTATCTAAGTAAAATATTTGATTTCAGAAATTATTATATTTTTATGAGAAATCCATGTAGAACTAACATAAAATCAAACCACGCCAAAAAATCTTTTTAATTGAAAAGAAAATGCTTCAAAAACAATATGTCCACAATTATACAGTCCAAAAGAATATTAAAAGTTTAAAAAAAAAAAAAATAACTTAACATATTGTATTTGAATACATTGATCATTAGTGTGGAATGTTTAAATTAATCAAACAAAACAACAAATCATACCCATCAATGCAACCATGAATGCTTATACCATATGGCTTTAGTTTGTCATATCCATCTATAAATGCAGTTTCATGTTTGGAATTACAGTTTAATTTCAGCTTGCAGGTGTCTCATAAGAAGTTTAGACATTTGATATATTTGTTTAATTTTAAAGCATTTCAAACCTATTTCAAATATCTTTTCTTGAAATGACTGACATTTAGGACAGATATCTACTATAAAATAAATGATATGTTTGTGAAACACTGATGCCCCAATCTCAACCAAGCCTTGGAGTGTCCATCTCCATCCTTAGAAGCATCATCCATGCTAATTTAGTTAAAGTATGGCTAAAATTCACTCATCTGGAAAATATAGGGCAAATCCAGCATTTGAAGCAGAAAGGGTAGTGTACATCCCAGCATCATCCATGCAAGTTTGATCCAAGTAGGGCTTATAGTAACATGGACATGTATAGGAATGAAGCTGCTTCAAAAACATTAACCTGGTCAATCATCTGAAAAATGTAAGTAAAATCCAGCATCTGAAGCAAGTGTGGTAGTGTCCATCCCTAGATGCATCATTCCTGCAAGTTTGGTCCAGGTAGGGCTTATAGTTTCCAAATGGACTTGCTCCTAACACTTTTACAGGGATGTGACGCTAACACCCACACCAACAGTATAGCATAAGCTCATCTCGACATCATCGGGGTGAGCTAAAAATAAATTACACAACCTACTTTTCATCTTATCAAATTGTAAAAGTTACATAAATAAATAAATAACAGGATTGATTTTGACTCTTCATTCATGAGCCAGAAGAAGGCAATATTACACTTACCCAAATGCCAAACAAAATTTGGACCCTATAAATACACATTGTACAAATATGGTATAAATAATTGTCCCTGACTTTCATATTCTGTACAGCAGGAAATTAGCTCGCAGAAATAATATTTGCAGAAATAAGAACCCCTCAATTTCATATAGTGAATAATTCTTAAAAAAAATGATAAATTGAAATATTACCATTATCTGTGGTTAGATTCTTTAATTCTCTCTGTGTTTCATTGCAAACATAAAAGCAGTAATTAATATAGCGGAGAAACGGATGTAGACCGTCTTGCTAATAATGAAGGTTTATGGATCAGTTTAATCACTTACATGTAGTTGTTCGTGATTTTGAAGCTTAATTTAATTAATGATTAATTAATAAATATAATTCTATAACTTATATTTAATAGTGCCACCCAAAAGACGTGCAAGGTAATTATCCACGAAACACACAGAGTTAACCTTTACATGTGCTTATTACTTATTCTTATTACCTTTAATTGAGGCACTTACGTAGTAAAAACGAAGGTTACACATTTATTTAGTTATACTAACAGTTCAACATAACTACTAATAGAAGGGAAAGGAAAAAAAAAACAAGGGAAAAAATTAAAATCATCAGGATGCGTGACAACGCTTTGACTTCAAATTGGTATTAATCTGACATTTCGTTATATTTAATCGGGTTCAGAAACGACATGACATAATAAGCAAGGAAAATACTTGCAGTGCTGAATTAATAATATTTCCTTTCTGCAAATTCAAACAACCCCAATTTACTACAAATTTAAAAAATTGCGATTTTAACCTGCTGTACAGTACATGTACAAGGTATATTTCACTTTTTTTCTTGCATAATTATTTTTCAAGCTTTGAAGTGTTGAATTTTGTCACATTTATGAAATTAATACATTAATAAATACTGAGATGATCAATGTTTCATAATTTTTCTTTCAGTCTTCGGTCTATACCTTGCTAAAGTATTGCCTTCTTCTCAGTCTTCTCTGCTTCCTTCTCTTTATCCCATCTTCATCCAAAAGACGAACTATATCTCTTGCTATGGACCTGTATCATTAAACATTTATTTCGTTTAATGTATTAAAATTTTACAATTATTGTCTATTTTTGAGGGCAAACATTATGACTTTTGAGCCCAAGAGAACCACTACCAACCAATGCTCAGCCAGTCTTAACAATGGTTTTTGAAGGGTGAAATTTTTCAATACAACTCTCAACTGAGAGACCAAAATATTTGTTATACCTGGGTATTTTACTGAATGGTTCATGAAATATAATTATACATGCTTATAGATTCCATGCAGTCAGCAATTTTTGGGAATATGACTCATCATTTTTAATGCTAACTGTTGCTACATTCTGTTGCATTAGCTGGGCATGGTTTAATCAGTCATTGGAATATAGTGTTTTTTATCAAATGTTTCTCAATGAATCAGATTCAACTAATTTACATGAAAGTATAACATCAAAATATTTGCATGTTTGGATGTATTTAATCATGGATGGAGGAATGGACTGACTTTGATTATATACTTACCTGGTAATATTCAGCTGGTGTTTCATTTTTATAATTCTTCTTAGACTTTCAGCACCTGAACATCCATTCAGTATTTCTCTCTACAGAATATTGTAAATTGCATGTATAAGGTTTGCTCTATACAACTTTATATGTATTCTAATTAATATATGCAAGTTTTAGCATAATTTTCTGAATTTAATAGTACACTTTTTCTCCTTAAATACATGTACATGTGTAATGTATGTAATTTTAAATTTTGGCAACAGTGATGATTTAGAGCTGAAAAGACATCAGGGATATGAATTCCACTAAAATATGTCAAATTCCACACATCTTTCATACATATACATCCAACAAATAAGTTAATCATTGTGTTCTAAACTTTCATTGAAGAATTACCGGGTACTTAATGACAGTTAAAAGAACAGAAATATTTAACCTGCACGTGCACCTTTATATTTATGAATTTTCTAAGAAATAAAATTATTACCTGTGCAATATCAAATATTTCATCAAAAGCAATGTCTGCAAGCCTCCTTTTCAAACCAAGTCTAGGTAGAACTTTCCTTGTTAGGCAATTATAACTGCAAAATATTTTAATCACATAGAAGCATCATCATTGAATGACAATTTATGTATTTGATTAAAAGTCATGATACATAACTAGACTTCCAAAAGTATTTTTTAAATTTTGTATTATAATACCTTATGTCACAGTTATGGTTTCTCTGGATCAAATAATGGATTAAACGGTAGTTAAAACCCTTATAAAACAATTCTTTTATCTTTTCAAGTATATCTAAAAGAGAAAAAGAAACCTTTTAGCATAAAGTACTGATCATTTTATTATATAATCTACAGTTCAGCTTATACAAGAACATGATCTAGAAGATTTTCCCGATTTTCCCCCAGAATAATGAAGTTTAACTGTATATCAAAACAAAACATTGCAAATGTCCATTATTCATAAGATATACACTGCTGATCAGACTAAAGACAATGCTGAAAAGGAACAGCTTATTCTGATAAAGCAATAGCAGAAAAGTAATTTTGAGCCAGGCTCATTGCTCTACTCTTAGAGCAATAATTGCCTTTTTGTCAGGGTGTTCAACTGGATATGCTGCTTTCTCACTGCCAAATCAAATTTACAAGTTAAAAAAAAGTATGTTTATGCTCAGACGCTTTTGAGACAATACAACACTAAAATTAAACAAAGTAAAGTAAACTGATAAATTTTCTTAACAAACAAAATTAATGGTAATGTACTTTGGTTTCTCCCATGTGCCATGATGTACTACGATTTATTAATATGGTTGCATGTATGCAAAAGGTTTTCATCCGGTCCCCCTCAGTGTCTGTAGCACATACTAAAAATAAAGGTAGCATAACCAGGATAACACTAATGCAGGGAGCACGTGACCTGTGGTACACTTTGATGCAGAACTTCCCACTGAGGACTCATCTGAGCATAAACGTTTGTCCTTGCTGCATCAATGTTTATTTTTGTACATGGTGTAAGACCCCAGAACGATCCATGTGATAAATTCAATGTTCACTATTCTGTAAATGAGCTCTGCTCTCTATACTTCTGAGTACTTTGATTTTAAATATCACTTACCTTGCCCAATCATCTTCACTTCAGCTTATAATCTTTGTAAAACTACAAATAAGGAATGCAATACATATAACACCCAGTTCACTTCAACAGTATACAACTAAATATACGTTTACAATGTTAATGATAAGAAACTCCTTATACCATATGCTTTACTCTCAGGGTCATTCAGGGTTGCAAATAATTATTAGCCCACTTTCAAAATTTAAGTGTTTTGTCTGAAGGTAAGGGTTGATATTTTCCTAGAAAATTCACTAGCACAAGGGTTACTGATCATTAAAAATTTCTAGCCCAAACCTCAAACTAACTAGCCCAAACCTCAAACTAACTAGCCCAACAATTTTTTAATGCAAAATAAATTAAAACACAACAAAAGTAAAAGTTTCAAATGCTTTGGTAACAGAAACAAATTAAACTAGTTTTCAGTCAAAAGAAACCAGTTTACATACATAGAAAACAGAAATAAAGTCACAAGAATATTTTCTGGTCTGCTAGTCTGGCAGACTATATTTACATTTAAATTAGCTAGCCCTTGAAGTCTTAAAACAATTAGCCCCAGACTTTGGCTACCAATTTCAACCCCTGCTGAAGGCTTCAAACTCTTCAGGATGTTATTGCCCACATAGCAAGTAAAAATCTTATTGGAACTTCAAAACATACTGAATCGTGTCATCATTACAAATATCTTAGATTACAAAAACCAAGTGGAAATTTCAAACAAGAGGTATCTAACACCACAGAAAAACAATAGGGCATAGCTTTTTGGATTATGATAAAAGAGGATCCAAAACTTTTTCTAATCGAAATTGTGGAAATTAATTAAAAATGGAATTTGATTTGAAGTAAAGCAGTATGCATAAGGAGTTTGTTTCTCTTTTCTTTCTAATTGTTTTCAACCTTTTAGTTACATTAATGTGGGCCCCAAAGCAACAATACAGGCTAGTAAAACTTGTGAAGTTAGGATCCTACATGACTTCTATACTTTCAGACAAGCAATATCAGTCTTAAAAGACAAGTGTAAAAAGTCATACCTTGTGGGCAATGACACCTTTGTGAGGAGCAACCGTAAGAGAATTAAATCACCCGCATGAAAGAAATTCACGCGCACATGTCTGAATTTCAAATGCGAAGGAAAAATTCGCGAAAAAGAATAAATATACACATGCAACTTATTTGGAACTCACCAGGATTTTGACAAAAATGTTGCATAATGTGTGATAAAAAATTTATCAAATCATATTCCCTCTTGCATAGTCAGCTTAAGAGTTACACAGAGCTCATTTTGTTATATTCCGAATACATACAAAACCTAGTCTTTGAATAATGAACTTGTACTAAATAACTAACTACCTAACATGCTAAACTAGGCTAGGGTTTCATTCCCTGACGAGAAAATTCGAACTAGGGGCCGTTGCAGAAGAAAGCTAGGTTTGAAAGTTCTATACCAGTATACCTTAACATTTAAGTTTGAAAGTTCTGTACTTTAACATTTAAGCTTAAAACATTGCTGGTGTGGTATTTACTTCTTACCGTGTTTGTCCTTGCTTGTAACTTTTGTTGTCGAAGTCTGAGATCATGAGACTGTCACTTCAACAGTAAAATCAACTGAACCCACATGTAAATGTAAGGATCTCTCTCAAATAGACGCTTTGTATCCGTCACGCTAGAAATAATATTTCTTCACGCTCAAGATAATATTTCCTTCACGCTTCAAATAATGTGTAGTCTGTCACAATAATAATCGTGTCTCCCAGCGTTTCAACATACTTATTGTTTCAACAAGGGGGAGTTTTCGTTCCTGTCACTAGAAAAGAAGTTATCTTTCCTGATGAGAAATAAAAAATAAAGTTTCTACGAACATATTAAGGCGCACATTATTATTGTTGCAAATATGGTGTGGTTTTTTTTTTAACGTGCATACATTTTTATTTCCATGAAAATGGCTTTTTTTTTCTTTTTTTTTTCTTTTTTAATAATTTTCAAACAGTAGTTGTTACAAGTATGCATTCTTATAAATCGTTGAAGTAAACATAATACAGCTGTAATATGAATCTATAATCTTGGTGCTAAATAAAAATAATGTACACATCGACCGACAGGATTATAATTATTGCTGTTGGCAAGATTATAGTTGTAAGACATCAGAGGATAAAATTATTATTATTATTGGGCTAAATAAAGATAATTCGTACACATATTATGGTAGTATAGTATGGAAACGTGATAATTGTAATTTTTGCGGAGAAATATAATAATATGTTGTAAAAAAAAATATATATATTTTATTTTTTTTTTATTAATTTGTGGTACAATTATAAATATATAGGAATAATAATAATGTGGAGGTACCCAAATTATTATTGTTGCAGAAAAATAATAATGTTGTAAAAAAGCAAGATTTTTATTTTTGTATGAGAGAATTATTTTTGGTATAATTATATAGGAAAAAATAATAATAATGTGGGGGTACCCTACGGCTTTCCATATTATTCCTATACTTTTATAATTGTACCACAAATTAATAAAATAATAATAATAATAATAAAAACAAATAAATAAATAAAAAAATAAAATAAAAAAAAAATCTTTGCTTTTTTTTTCTTTTTCTTTTTTTTTTTTTTTACAACATTATTATATTTCCCCGCAAATATTACAATTATCACGTTTCCATACTATACTACCATACTGTGTGTACAAATTATCTTTATTTAGCCCAACAATAAATAATAATTTTATCCTCTGATGTTTTACAACTATAATCTTGCCAACAGCAATAATTATAATCGGTCGATGTGTGTACATTGTTTTTATTTACACCAAGATTATATCATATTACGTTTACTTCAACGATTTATAAGAATGCATACTAGTAACAACTACTGATTGAAAATTAAAAAAAAAACACTTTCATAGAAATAAATATGTATGCAAAAAAAAAAAAAAAAAAAAAACAGAAACAAAAAAAAAAAAAAAAAAAAAAACACATTAATTTTGCAACAATAATAATGTGCGCCTTGTTCGTAGAAAACAACTTTATTTTTCATCGGGAAAGATAACTTCTTTTCTAGTGACAGGAACGAAAACTCTGTCCCTTGTTGAAACATTATTATTGTGACAGACTGTACACATTATTTGAAGCGTGAATTATATTATCTTGAGCGTGGAGAAATATTATTTCTAGCGTGACGGATACAAGCGTTAATGTGAGAGAGATTTGCACACATTATTTGAAGCGTGAAGGAAATATTATCTTGAGCGTGGAGAAATATTATTTCTAGCGTGACGGATACAAAGCGCCTATGTGAGAGAGATCTTTACATGTGTGTTCACCGTTCAGTCGAAGTGACAGTCTGAAGACGTCTTCGACAACAAAAGTTACAAGGTAGGACAGACACGGTAAGAAGTAAACACCACGCCAGTAATGTTTTAAGCTTAAATGTTAAAGTACAGAACTTCCAAACCTTAATGTTAAGATATAGAACTTTCAAACCTAACTTTCGAATTTTCTCGTCAGGGATTGAGTCTTAGAATAAAACATAAATTGTCTTCTGCACACGCCAGGAGTATTAGAAATCGCATCATAAAATATGTATTTTTTTTTTTTACAGATATGTTTTGTGTAGAGTGTGGTCACAAGTTTGACCACAGCAATCCCAAATTTTGTGGGAATTGTGGGATGAGAATAGGTATGTGAAGTTATAACTACATTATATATATATATATATAGAGAGAGAGAGAGAGAGAGAGAGAGAGAGAGAGAGATGTCATGAACTGAATATAAAACAAAAAGTTGAAGCAGAGAAGAACAGAAATATGTTCAAAAGAAGTTTAACATTCTGATGTATTATAGTTTCGGATTTTTTTTTATTGGAAAACATGGTAAATACTAAATAAGAACCGAAAATGAAGACATGCAGTCCTGAATCTGCAGTGAATTATTTGCTGAAATCAAACTAGAATGAACTATTTTACAAACCAGATCTGGAAATTTAGGGTTCTTCAGCAAAAATCAGGTGAAAAACATGACTCGCCATGCCATAAAAAATAATTGGGTTATGGGTAAAAAAAATCTGGTTTAACACAACAGAATTGGGGGAGTTGGCAACTCTCCCCCCTCCCCCCATTACTACGTACATGTATCTGTTTTTAGGAACATTTGTAACCATTTTCATTACTATTAGAATATTACTAGTTATTTATGCATTTATCTATTTTATAGGTAGCAAGGACACTGGAGATGTTGAAAAAGAACCATCCATTGGTAAATTTATTGATTGCGGAAGTTCTAGATTTGAAGCAAATTCCTTTTGCCTTAAATTATAATTAATCAATTACAGGTAAACTTTGCTATCTCGACATCAGCAGAACTATCGGAAAATGTTGAGGTATCAGAGTTGAGACTTCATGTCCAAGACGCCCAAGATTTCACTGCATAGCAAACCAGACAGGTTTATTACGTACATGACTTCATTATACGGTAGTTCATTTTATTTCAGGAATTCCTCTATTTTTATTACCAAATCTAAGGAATTATAATAAAAATAATGTTTATAAAATAAGTTCTTTCTCTATATCGAAATCTTTCTAAATTTACAAAGTTTTCCAAAATTCCACCATTCCGTGTACATGTAACTTGTTTTTTTGGTCAGAACAGGATATGAAATGTGCTCTATAAACTTCGAACCGTATAAAGTCGACATCCGAGAAACAGAAAAAAAATTAGATGCATTTTTTTTTTCTCATTTGAAAAAGAAAGCTCATAAAAACAAAATGTGATGTTACTCGTGCATGAATTAAGGCTGATTCAGTTAATCATGTCATTAATTTGATTATTCAAGTTCCTGTTGAATGAATTTTTAAAACAAAATATCTTTTAAAACATCATTTAATTCCTTAGTTAGAATTAAATTTAATGCGTTTATTATTCATTGTAATGCAGTAAGCTTTTTCAAATTATAAAAGTTGTGCTTTATGTTGATATTAATTAACGTCGGTACATTTAACGAAAATCGTATAGATTTATCGATGATATTGCCCAAGCTGAACATTTAATTGAGCAATTAAAGTCTCGAAGAAGACCGAAGGGCTTGGGATTCTTCTACAAACACAGTCTGACTATAGAATGAATTCATCAGTGTGTAGTCAAAACATGGGTGTGAAAGGTGTGAATTTCTTATGATGTCGAGATACACAGAGTCATCCGTGCCTGACGAGTGACCATTTGACAAACAGTTAGGTTTAATAGAGCAGAAAATTGCCGATGTCGACATATACCAGGTAAATGTTGCTCTTGGGACTGTGAATATACGTCGAGATAAACCGGGTTGTCGACATTACCGAGGTAGACATATCAGAGTGTTTGCAAATGAAGTATTTAGTAAATACTGCCGGGAGCATGGACGGACATCAACATATCCCAGGTTGTCGATGTATCCGCGATGTCGACATATGGAAGTTTACCTGTATTTAATGAATATTTAGTTGAACTTTGATATCTTGAACACTGATCATGTGGTGATATTTCAGATGCCATGGATATGTCAAAGTGATTTGGAAGTTGCAACCACTTATTCTTTAAGTATGTTATCCCTGATATCTCAAATCCTTGGATATCTCAAAGTTCAGTCCCATCAAGTTCAAGATAACAAGGTTAAACTGTATATATGAAACTTCACAGGTAGTCACAGTGAGGTGCTTTCTGACACTGATGACATGGAAATTTTGCTATAATTACATGTATACTACATTCATTTGGCATGAAAATACAATAGAATAATGTATTTCTCTAAATTTTCAGATTGTGAGGTGCTCCCAGATATGGCAGACATAAAAGGTGTTGAACAAAAGTTATCCAAAGGTAAATTTACTAATGACTGTATAGTATAATCTACAACTTATAAAAAGCATTGATGATTTCCTGTAGGAAAAACCTTAATACAGTAACAAATTTTCCAAGGCAGACCTCAAAATATTTATATCTATCATATGTACACATGCATGTCACTATAATAAATGATTTACTTACTTACTTACAATAGTCATTATGAAATTTATTTTTCATGTGCTTCTCTTTATATGACATGTTGTGTGAAAATGAAGCAAAGTGCTTCCAGATTTGGTAGGAGACTTAGAATCTGATTAATGAATATCATCAATTTAAAAGAAATCTGAAATATCTGTGCTTGCTTGTCGACAAGTGAGCTTTGGTAGTCGGGACAAGGAAAGTCATCATGGTGATGAATGGTTATGATTCAAACTTGTCCTTTTGAGCAAGCGGTCATGGAAATTGTTAACACCCTGTAATTTAGTAGATAAATTTTTGTCTTGAGCTTAAAACAAACATGATCATAGGGCCAAGGATTTCCCCAAATAGTACATCTTTGAGACAATGATTTTGCTAGGATAAAGTAAAATGATAAGTATGAATTTGTGTCTCAATACAAGTTTTTGATAATGTGTGTTATGTTTCTATTGTTAGTGTGAAGTCATTTTAAAGTAAATCTTTTAAGGTTGCAAAGAAAGTCTGGAGTTCCTAAAAAAGAAGTATGGCCCTCAAAGCCTGAAGCATAAACCAAAACCAAAAACAGATAGGA